AACCAAAGATAGTGCAACTAGCTCGATGAAGTTGAATAATTTTACAGATAGGAGATTTAGAAAGGGTAAAATAAAAAGCAATAAATTTTCATCAGCTTATATAATCTTAGCTTTTATCTTACATTTAACAACTTAACTGTTCGTTTGGAACAAGTTATATAAATCGTACAATTAGGCAAGTGCGTTTTCGGGTAGGAGAGCATTTACCGGGTTGGTTCAGAAAAGGAGAAGTGAAAATGGTGAAAAACTCCATCCTAGTGCACCTAGTAGACATATAGATGATAATAAAGTTTTCAATGTTATACATCGTATTTCAAAAACAATACCACGAGTAGCTCACCAACGCCTGCTCAACATAAAGGAGGCTGTTACGCATGGTGGATTTTAGATTAGATTATACTTTAGATTATAGAGATCAAGGGATATTTAAAGTATGGAATTAGATTATTTGGAGTAGGATGTTAATATATTTGTACGTCCCAAATCGGGCCGCGGTAGTTGTAGCGGCAACATTTCTCTTCTTTTGAGCACACGACTCGGGTTGTTTGATCCTGGCTCAAGATCTTTCAAAATGCAGAAGCAGTAGCAATCAGGATCAAACAACTTGAGTTGTGTGTTCAAAAGAAGCAAAATGTTGCCGCTACAACTACCGTAGCCCGATTCGGGACGCATAAATTCGTTAGCATCCTACTCCAGATAATCTAATTCAACACGCTAGATACCCATTCATCCCTATAGTCTGAAATCATTTTAACAAATTCTCTTAACCTACTTTGTCCCCCAGTATGAGAAACATTTTACCAAGCTATTATGCCTCAGATAATATTTCTTAGTTTGTTTTATTCAGCTCTCATAAACACCTTCTTATTGTTTGACTAAACAACCACCTTATAGCATTACTTACGCAGTATAATCGTCTACAAATAGGTTTCCTTACAGTTCTTAGAAAATGTACTTACTCCTAATTTGACTTGTTTTGTCCTGTACAAATGAATTTCATAATTGTAAAACCTGATGAGAATTTATTGAAAAAAATGCTCTTCGTTCAGATTGTTACTTTTTATTATTGTTATGAGAATCCTTAAATGTTTGAAAGGGTAAAATGAACTTTCAGTAGCAGTATTAGTCAAGAATAAGTTATAGATCCATAGTGGCTGATATCCACTGCTTTGATACTCTACAGGTATAAATCCTTTAGAAACCATAACTAAAAAAGTTCTTTTTAGGAAGATGTTTACAGCAGAGTAACCGAAAGTAACAAGTAAACATTCTTAGTAAACACAACCAGCTATCGACAGTTCCATTTTTCACTCTCTTGCTTGGAAACTAGTTGGAAAACCATAGCTTGGATCATGAAAGATCATCTTTAAGATAGTAATCAATGCATGAGCGATATAAGTTGCAAAAACTATAAAATTTTGATTATTCCAGGAACAGTTAATGACTAAAAGAGTAAGAGTCTGACGCTGGTGTTCAGAAAAAATTGATTTCTAAAGATTTGAAGTCTTTGGTATGCATGTGTGATGCACAATGTGCACTTATGAAGTTTTTATCAGCGTAGAAGAAATGATTTGTAACATAATTATTCTGTTGAAAAACCAAATATATTTCAGTCATAAAAATCAAACTACTTACGAGTAGACAAAAAGAGTAATCGAAAATGTGAGGGTTCCATAGAGAGGGGTGAAAATACTTAGACCAGACATAAAGCTGGAAAACCAATTAGTAGTAGCATCCCGATATCGAAATACGTGTGTTGTATCATTATTGGAATTTTATTTAATCAAGTGTGTTTTAACTATGTTACTTAGGCATGAGTACCTTTAACATCAAACGCAGAAATAGATTTGTAAGGAAGGTAAAAATATGTAATTGCAGCCAATTTTAAGTCATTGGAAAAATATTCAGTTACATAGTGATTGTTATGATTTTAAGTTTAGCTTGATGAGAAAGTGAAACTTTATCTAGTTGAAACCGCAACTACTTGTCTCGAACTATAATTGTTACTTCAATAAAAATTTATTCAATCTCTTGAAAAAATCGTCAACAAGACTGATAATAAGATGAGTCATCATAGAACATATCTAAAGATGACACTGAAGGGATATATTCAGCACATAACCCATGGTCAATGGAATGGTTAAGATCATTCGAAGACATAATATTCTTCCCACCAAATAAAGTAGTTGCTGATTATTCGACTAAGGAGTCATATAATGTACCCAACTTCTACAGCTTACCAGCACGTTACCCTGGTGATAATTGAAATCAATACTACTTAGATTTAAGATTGCAATACAGCTTAATGTACTGTGCCCGAACAGATACACCAGAACGTATCTCAGATCTGTTTGTTGTGAAGTCCAACTCAGACAGTAACAAATAGAAACAAAATAAGGAAGCAGAGAACACAGTGAATGTGTCTACCATTACTAAGACCTGGCCATGACAACACGATGAACAATTTAAGCGTACAAAGAGACTTCATTAGGTGATGTTGCTGATTACCCGACAGACAATACCAACATAGGAGCAGACACTACTGAGTAACAGTCCAAGTCGCCACACCTCACATCACCAAATCAAGCGAGAAAGTAATAAGATGAAGAGATAAAGAAATCAAGAAAGCCATCAAAATGGCAGAAAGATGTCATAAGATAACAAGGAGAAATTTCCAAGAAAATACTGATTCATTGTGACGACTAAGATTCGCACAATGTGTGGATACATGTGAGCCACTTAGATCAATTCTGAGCCATAACACCTAGATTCTTCAACCGTCGATTTCAGTTTGCATGCACACACCAATCATGAAGTCTGCATTTGCCTACACGTCACAGACATGCAGCCAGAAACTTTGTGAATTGATAACATATTTTACTCTAGCTGCTTTTAACCTTTTTTCAGTTTGAACCTACTTCAGCTGACATTCTGTGAGATTTACAGTTTTGTTCAAGTTTAAATTTAACGGAACGGCGTAATCGAAAGTTCAGTTTGCGATTGTCGGGGATTAATTTGATTTCAGATTGGTATTCATCATGAACTGATATCAGTTGGAGAAACACTGGAAACTTGGGATCACTGGACATCTGTTTCGCCCGAGCATGGGACTCCTCAGCAGTGTGCACCCATGACCCTGCCAGAGATCGAACTCTAGACCTTCAGGCAACGTAGTGGTCATGGGACTCGAAGGTCCTGAATTTGATCCCTGGTGGAGTCATGGGCACACACTGCTGAGGAGTCCCTTACTAGGACAAAACAAACGTCCAGTGCTCAAATGTTTCCAATGATCCTCCAAATGATGTCAATCCGAGATAAATATCGCCTCGAGAAACATTTCACTCATGTTGTGATTAAAATCTTATGGGAAATAGATGTCAAATTTTTGAAGAAGCATCTAACCTTCCCTTCTAGCTTATCACATTACAAACTCATGATTAAACTGTGAAAAGAAAAATTCCTAGACAAATTAGGCATTACAGTTGACAATTTAAGGACAGGTCAAAAATACCCTTTTTGGTCTATTCTTTTTGCAAAACATTGAGGAATGTTGGTTTTGTATAGTAAGTCGGCTCCGAAGTTGAGGGAACAATGCAAAACGTTGATGAGTCTGAACAGCACTTGAAAGGTTGACATACAAATGATTTACAAGTTGGACAGTCCACAATGACATTTCTCACAGCTGAGTAGTTTCTGCAACTGCCCAACTGTGGTGTCAACAAGATTTCTATTGAAAATCACTCAGTCAAGACCATAAGGTATGATCTCTGATAATAAGGTATCATGAACCAGCGAAAGGTACTACTATCGGACAACTTGAGTGATTAGAAACTACTCAGTCTGATATGCAGTATTTCACTAACCAGAATAGACTGAACTAAACACCAGACGGCCGTTTCACTCGTTTGGGACTGAGCTCATCAGTGGTGTATCCAGACAAAATCATCTGATGGAGACAAATTAGTTCAGATCATCTAAATTGCATAGGTGATCAATTTGCAAAAAATTTACAAGTTTAGGTGATTTAAGTGGTCTAAACTAATTCGGCCCCATGAGCTGAAAAATTTGTCCAGATACACTGCTAGTGAGCTCGACCTCAGACGAACGAAACGATCAGCCGGTGTTTAGATCACTATGATCTGGTTATCTAGCGAAGTTTATAGATCAGCCTGAATAATTTTTAATTACTCAAGTTGTCCAATAGTAGTAGTAATATTAAGGTAAGAGTTCAATAAAATTATTCACTTGCAACCGTTTTTCACTTACCGCAAGAAAAATCATGAGAATACATAATACGATGGATAACTATCACCATAGAGATCTTGGTAAATTAAGGTTGACATTAGTAGTATTACTCGTAGAAGAAATGTAGAAAAGTATATACAGAATTCCGAACACTAAATGTACTACTGCAGTGGATGCTACTGATAAGAATGGATATAAGTAGTATATGTTGAGAGGTCGGCAGAAATCATAGGCAATTACCAGTAATGGGCGAATATTCTGCCCAGAGAAACGCAAGAGACAATGTGGGCGTATTAAGAGCAAGTCAAAACAGAGGGAGAAGAGGTAATCAGGCATATTGTACAAATGACTACTTTGATAGAAAGCGTACAATATTTCATCAGTACTGTACAAGATCTCTCAATAAACATTCTGTCCTGCATCTCAGTCTTTGTCGTTTTTTACACTACAATCAAAACAACCACACGTTTATTCCCGGATAAGTACTAGTGATTAGACAAAAAGATAGCCTTTCGGTACAACAGATAAGTAGTTTCTAATTCTTTCTCTCAAAAGACCTGACTACATCATAGTAGGAAAAAGAGAGAAATTCAACGATTACATAGGATAAGAAAATAATTAACACTCACACAATATCGAGGCATGCGTATACAAGCCCACATGCCAATAGAGGTCGAACAACTCGATCCAATAAAACAACGAAGAATTACAAGTATATCAATAAATAAGTAATAAGAAAATAAGTTTAAACGTACAGCTGTATGATCATAGAGTGTTCGTATAACTGGATGAGTTTCCATTTGCTGTTGTGGTGTCTCTTGACCTAAATGATCAGCTGGTGAAACACTTTTGGCAAGCATTCGCTCAACATCAAGAATCTATGTGCACAAAAGTTGAAAATAATAGTAAATTTAATTTGAAAATATGATCTAATAACTAAAAATGGACACATTACGTAACAAATTGCAAAAATATTTACTAGGCTATGAATCATCATACTTACATACAAAGAATGAACAATACTATTCAAATGTTAAGGTTAAACAAAGAACAAACGATTATTATTTGTTGATACCTGTAACACTATGTTGTTACAGTGGATTAAGTCGATCTAATTCTGTTGCATAGACGATGGATCTCATAGTTCAGTAGTCTAGCAGATAACCCTTTGGGGTTTGGAGTGATGAGTTCCGAAATCAAGTCTCAGTAAGAACAATATCGCTCACTGAGATGCACATTTGAAATGATATGATATAATAATTCATTTGACCAGGAGATAAATAAATCGTTAAATGTATAGACCAAAGTGGTACCTGGAGTAAAACAAGGTAACCAGGTTGAAATGATGTTATGTAATCTTCAATCGTTGAATCTTGGGAAGGCATGTTAGTAATAATAATAATAATAATAATAATAATAATAATAATAATAGTAATAATAATAATAATAAGGGTCATCACTTTATTCCAAACAATTTTTGGTACAAATCAGAATTCTCAGCATGATATATAGCAACAACACCAAAATATATGGATGTATATACTCCTTTACAACATCTCGAATTGTGTTATTATATAAATTTCAGTAATATAAAGAATACTAATAACGAGAAAATTTTACATGGTTAATTAAATTATTGAAAAGAGAGTATGAATTGGTGCAAAGTTGACATGTGAATTCTGTTCACACACCTTTTTCCTAACATAATATGCGTGGTAGGCAAGGTACAGTCGAATTCTTGTACTCAGCTGTACCAGCATACAGTCTTATATAATTTCTTTTGTATTCCCTGAGGAGATACAAGGAGAGAGCTGTGAATAAAGTGGTTGGTCAGTGTGAATTAAAATTACTGTAGCTAGTTGCTTGCTACAATTTAAATATCCATCAACTAAAGTGTTAATCAGTTGGGCCATAGAGACAGCACTCACCCTGCTGACGATTTTCATAACTACACAATATAACATAGTTATTTTTTAGTAGACCAGGATAAATCAACAGTGAACAATAGAGAAGAATAGGTAAAATGCAGCAATTAATAAACTTCTAAAGTAGATGCTGAGTTATACCGGAGAGCCTCAGTTTATGTAATACATTCAAGGAAAGATTTCCTTGGAAGTCAACAAGATATAAGACGACCGACAAGGATAGTCAACACTCAATTTACTTTCTGCAGAAATACCATCAATCCAACAGGTGTCATGAGATTTAAGCAGTTTACATAAGTCTAGTTTACGCCTGATGCTAAAAATTAACAGTCTGACATTTAGAAGGGTTTAACTTGAAACCGTTGGTCAATTACAGACAAGAATTCATTTAATTGAGAGCAATCTAAGTGATAGTTGACTGGAATACACACCGTCAAGAATAAGATAAATTGTGCAAAAAGAAGGGAAACAGAAACGGAGAAAGTACTGCACCAGGAGGCACACCGGCTTCAGTAAGCAATGAAGTGGAGCGCCTCCCTTTATAGACAATATACTGTTTCCTTCCAGAAAAATAAGAATATAGCCACTTTATAACCCATGACTCAGTATGAGCTATGGCTACCTTATTTAACAACAGTAGTTTATGAACAGAGTCAAAGGCTGATGAGTAATCCAAAAACGTGAGAACATATTCAACACCTTTGTCTACACTAGAAACAATATTATGATGCAAGACATTTATGGCATCTAAAGTTTTTCTCCCGTATTAGTAAGCAAATTGTTTTGGGCCTCTGGAAACCTTCAATGACGGCTCAAGCACAAGAAGTAATTTCCCCATTGTCTTCAAAAAAGGAGAAGTTATAGCGATGGATCGAAACGTAACATCTGATTCAGAAGATGACTTAGGCACAGGTACAACTTTGATCTCCTTCCAAGCAGCAGGTACTGTTTTTACAAAACGACGTATTGAAGATATTTGTAAGGGGATGACAAAATATCTACACATTTTCTAAATTTAATACTCGAAACGCCATTAGAACCTAAGCTTTGAGGTGGATTCAATGATTTAACACATTTAAATACATTTGTGTTAAAACTAGGAAAGATGAAATCAGCTTATCCGCATATAAACGACTTGTTTGACGCGCGGACATCCGAACAACTTTCTTTAGTTATCTGTTTTCTACCAATAAGCTCTTTAAATTATTTCCACATATTGGAAGAGTTCTTACACGCTAAAAACTTCTGGTTGTATATAGTATTTAGACATTATATTTCGGACTTAATTAGGCAGTTAAATCGTTTAACGCCAGAGTGATCTCTCGTCTTACAAAACCTTTCGTCTTCTCTCCAGAACCTCTTGAGATGAGAGGAAAGTCTGTCAAATCTCATGTAGATTGTTTCAGCTGGGCAGCAAATATCGAGATAGAATCTGAAATAGCTTGTGATATTAGTGATAGTGTAGTCGAAACGTTCATCAGCAAATATATTCCAGCATATTTCTCAAGCGTAGTCTATTCTCCTGCAAATAGCATCTGAACTGAACTTTCTTGGGAAGATATTTGAAAGCCTTCCTGTTTAATTTACCATACACTTTAGGTAAAACACGTACAATACAATTATCAGAATTCAGCAGCGAAGCATGTTTACGGACTTCATATACGCCAGTTTCAAGATGAGTAGAAAAGTTAACCATATTTTCATGATACAAGGAAACTGCAGTCACATGAATTAAAATCTCCACAGACTATGAACAAAGAGCTACCCAGAATCGGAGCAGTAAGTTTAGCGAATTCATCAGCAAAAGTTGACAAATTTGAGAAACTGTAGTCAGGTGTGATATAAACGTTTATGTATGTGTTTGTATTTACTCAAATGTTTTTGATGACATTCAGTGGTAATAGACTCAATTTCGTCAACTTTAGGGACAACGGATGTTCACCAATATTAGTTGAGTTGATCATAGATACTACAAGTTCGCCAAAAAAACAAAGGGTTCACGAATTACAACCAACTACTTCATATCATTGAAGATCAGTACAGCTTGTTCAATGAAGGATCTCATTTAACTATCAGTAAATAGTCAAAACTTAAGCTTTCCTTAATAGATGGAAATTTCAAGTAAGATAAGTGTATTCCAAAGGTAATCATGAACTTCCATAAAAAAATCCCCTATACACAAAAGAATCGAACCCTTATACATATTTCAAATAAACTCTTTGACAAGCAAATAACTAACTCGAAGAAGTCAAGTGTACTTAGAATTAGTGGAAATCATTCAAGACTTGTTACTCATGTATTCACATATAAGGAACATAAGTAGACCAACAAAACCCACTACTTAAATTTCTATTGCTAAAATATATGTATGGACATAAATCTTACAGGATGCTTAGTTTGCAAAATGATTTGCAAATTGAACAGTCCACGTTGACACTTCTGACAGTTGAGTAGTTTTCTAACTCCCCAACTGTCGCGTCTACAAGGTTCCCGCTAGAAACCACTCAGTCGATACCACAAGGTATGATCTCTGAAATAAAAATGTCATGAACTAGTCAAAAATACCACAGTAGTATCTTATAGTGTAGTTGTAGATCTCTGGCAGCTGAAAACTCTACCAAATCGTTCGACATATCTATTTTGTAATGTCAATATTTCATAGTAATATGTGTTGGACATGTTTTGCACAAGTTGGGAACTTTATTTCGGAATCAAATCTGACTTCTTCCTACTTAACTATGCAGCTAAAACGCATCAACTGAAAAAAACACAGGTACCTACACCGTGTCTTACGTTGTATTATACACTAATCAAGCAGATTGCAATGAAACAATCGTTCGGTTTGACTGTGTTGTGTTCTTTGAGTTGGATGGTTTAATTGTGAAGGTTTCATTGTCATCCAAGACAATATCGTCAACATAAATCAGTTATTTGATTGGAATAAAACGAAAAACTTTTCATCACAATAATATGCACATTTATATGGTTTTTTAATGAAAAACTCGATGATTACAAGTGTGGAATAGAATATAAAATTAAAATCAGGTGGAAAAAAAAATGACTTCACAGAAATTCAATTCTTACTTTGATTGAAGAATCATGAGATCCGGTTGCAACCAATTGGCCTAAAATCGATAAAAATCGAAAGTGATATAGTTAAACTGTATCTTATAGTTGCTGATTTTGCAAACCACCAAACCGGAAATTATGTTGGTTTAAAATGAAACACTTTAGTATACTTGAATAAAGAAAAGAAGAGATAATTCACTGAAGATTTTCTTCTTTGACAATGTTATTTTGTATAACTGCACCGTCAATTTTAGATCTATATCACAAACATAAAACAGTCTATTATTGAACAACGAGGTATAGTTGTATCATTAGGATAATGATTAGATTGAAATGAAGAGTGGAGTTGCTTAACAATATGTTACGTAATGCAGATAACAAGAAAGGCGAATGGTTTGACGGGTGAAAATTGTTGGTAGATATGAAATGTGACGTTTGAATATCCACTATTCTCTACATGATTGTCGAGAGGAGAATGCAAATCAATTAACATTTAGGTTCTTAAACATTTGGTCAACTCTGGTGGTACAACTCCACCAGAGTCCTCCCTCATTGTCATCGATGGAGTCAAAAGGTACAGTTCAAAGTTGTGTCCGGCAGGAGCACTGACAATTCACCGATTCAAACCTGATCTGTGTATAGAGAAGAAGTATGCTGAATCTCTCTTTCTCCCCCTTTCTTTTTTCAATTCCATTAAAATTAATTGATTTACCATTATCATCTTCATGATGATCCTTACTTCTTCCTTCATCTTCTTTATATCTATCAAGTCGACACTCAATCACCACATCTCACATCTACTAACAGTTTTCAATTTGATAATGGGTGACGAGTAAAGGTGAAATGAATATCTGGGTCGCAGCAGGATTCGAAACAGTGACCATCGGGTTTCCGACCCGATATTATACCAGCTGAACTACCAGACCTAACTGTTAACCAGATTTTTATTTTACTTCAATCACCAAGAGTCTTGCTCGACTGCTATATGAATTTGTGACGCGTTACTATCTATCGCTTGACGGTGGTCCCACTGTCTGCCCAGTGAGAACCTTCCATCGGAATGCAAATCTATCAGAATTAGAGAGGGGAGCATCACATATTGATTATCAGTTTGACTATCTCAGTGAAATGGTCGTGGTTTGGCAGACTAGTATTGATACTGGGTGATGATTAAAGGTGAAATAAAAATCTGGGTCACGAGAGAATTCACTTTGTCAAACTCTTTGCCTTTCTCGTTATTTACATTATCAAGATGATTATCACGCAACTCCTTTCCTCTTATAACTAGCTTAGTGATGCAACTATGCCCTTCTGTGGTGGATTACCTCTTTCATTCTTTAAACTTGAATAAAATAACTTCCACCAACAATCATATAGTTTTAAACTAATCTAAAACGACTATAAATGAGGTGTGAATAATGGAAGTAATGAAATAACTGCAATTACAAGTTGAACACTATAATGTTGTCAGTTAGTTTATGATTCATATTGTTCAATTATTCAACTAGTGTTTAAATCCAGAGAATTACAATGGTTGGCATTTTTTGTACAGATCACACAATTGATCAAAGAATCAGGTGCAAACTGAATACACACATATTCCTGCCCCCTTTCATCTGTTGATGTCTTTTAACCTCGTTTTCTTTTCATTTTTTCTCCTTGACTTTCCGTGCTTATATCAATTGAAAGTATGAGGACTTGACCAGACGAATAACTATGTTAGGTTCAGTGCTGTGGCAATCAAGCAATCAGTTCGAATAGGACAAGAGCAACAAATGAAGCAGTATACTATGAGCCTGTTAGTTGGTTGGGAGCAAGCGGCTGGAAGTCCTGGACCAAGATTTCGTGCTTGTTGGTACTCTTCAACTGGGCGTATCTGTAACCTCGAATGAACTGATGTCCACCCTGAGGTTCGAACCTGCGTCAACTAGTGTTGCAGTCAGCGGTATTACCACTGAGCTGCCCAGGCTTCTGGGTGACGCGGGTTAGAGTCTCAGTTCCTTAGACGTTGTAGATGCTCTTTGTTGACGAGTACTGACAAGCACGAAACACAACTTCCTGTCGACTTTTTCCAACCAACTAATATCTATCAAAGTGCACAACGACGCCAAGCCTCCTACCTTGGTGTGGCCACATTGCAAAATGATCGATAGAAATCAGTTAGTACTCAGGACTAGATAACAGGAAATTGGCTGTCCTCCGGTGACCAATCAATGTATATCATGACTTTATTTTTTACTTCACGAATTCTCCTCAATCATCTACAGCCTAAACAATATCAAGATGTGTATACATTACAAACTAATACAGATACTTTCCTACCAAGTTGATAAGCAATTATTAGTTGGAATATGAGGTAACACAGAGATATAGAACAATGCAAACCAGTTAAGTGCAGATGGTAAGAGATGTCACACAAGATTGATCATTTACAACAGAATATTTAGGGATGTATTCTTTAAAAATAGTTAGAAAACAACAATCTATTAGAAATGAAAAATTATGATGAATTACGTAACTATAAAAACTAACAAATTTACAATAGCTTGGTAAAGTAAATTAGTAAAGTCAAGTAAAAGAAAAAAGATAATTTTGAAGTAGAATGGGAGAAAAGAGGTATAAGTAATATGACAAAGTATTTGAAATATTTTATGGATTATAGTTTATCTTACAAGAAAAGCAATATCAATTTTAAACGAGAAAAAGCACCGCTAGATCTCTTCTAGCATGGAAACTACTTATTAAATCTTGACAAATCACTCCATAAATCCTAGATAATTAGTCTTTATGAAGAGCACTGAAAGGAAGAGGCCTAAATCGAAAACAGCATTCGAAGTCATTAGCCACTAAGGTAGAAGCTTTGCATTTCAACCTTGTCTCATGTTTACTGCGCGCGCGGAGAAAACCTTATTGGACAACTTTGTCCTTCAGCTGACCAATCAAAATAAACATGGTAATTGTGACGTATCGGCTTTATTTTCCAAAGAAAAATCGTATATAAATGATGTTTCTTGTCAAATAAAGTTGTCTTCCTTATGGTCACAGGTCTGTCTTTATCTTCTGATTTTGCGGTTCAGTGAAGTATCAAGTCTGAGGGAGAACAGCCGCTATTCGAGTCCAAGTATCTCATTGCGTTAGTCACTTTCTCATATTTCGTATTATTCTGTTGGCCACTTCAAACACGGTGTGAATTCAAGATGGATAATCTCTCTTAGCCTTATAATTTCGGACAATACAGTACAATTTAGCTTGCACGAATACAGTAAAACACTTACAGCTGAATAGTTATACTACTGTTACAGCCAAGTGATAAGCAGTTTGTGCATATATATCCTAAATGTTGATGACATATGCTCAACAATGCACAAGACAAAATCATAATAAACGCAGCAATGATGATGATGATAGTTAAATTCCTTACCTGTACTGTTAAAGGATGCTGCACGACATGCTGCTTTGTGGGCTGTTACATAACATGTTTCATATAGTGCTGCTTCAGGAGCCATTGTTGAGCCTGTAAAACAAATTAATTTTTTTTTAAAGGTTGGAGAAACATACCCATCCATTCATATATGATTAGGAAAATAAAGAACTTCTCAGAAAAAACAATTTTTTAGTTCATGAGAATATTATATTGCTGAAGAATCGTTGTTCTTGGTTGTGTTATGTTCTCTGAACTGGATTACTTAATTGCGGAGCTTTCATCGTTTTTTTAGACAACATCATCAGTACTAACTTTAATATGAAGTGAGCTGTCAATATTTCTCCGTGAGTGATTCGGTAGCTCGTCCTGCATTGTGTACAGCTGATCTTTACTTTTATTGGTACCACTATGCTTAACAAGTAACGGCAGATTCATAGTATATTCTTTTCAACTTACGATTGGTTTATATACCCACTTCGTTAACAACTACTCATATGCAACATGACCACATGTATCTGTATTTTAAGAAACGTTACAATGAACAGAAACATAGTCTTACACTTATTGATAATTAAACACACTAGTCATCTAATGGCTTTCAAGTTTCTGCTTTATTAACTTTACACTATTAGATAGATAACACAATTAGAAATTAATGGTCAACCATCTACCAGCCTAAATGATGATCACCAGGTTTCGAATTCGAGGATTACAATTGATTAATAACTTGAATTTCTTAAGGATTAAATCACCTCAACCATAACCTATAATAATAATAATAATAATAATAATACATTACGGCTTTGTTCTGAAAGCTATTTCGAGAATACTCTGTAGAATTTTCAGCACGTCATATAGCATCAATTGGTTAGAGACAGTGTATATGTATACATAGTAAAATAACTAGAAATTACATGGAAAAAAGATAAAGTATTCGCTCTGCCCACAACTTTCTTCAAAATAAACAGTTTAGGTGGACAATCACAACAGTAATTAGATTTATAATACATGAATAGTAACATGCTCATCTTCAATCAGTTTGTCTTCAAAAACAGAAGTTGGTTAGTTAGTTCATTTCTAATACTTTCTTCATCACACAGCAGGCGAGCTAAATACGGTATCGTAGAGTTTTTATATTTTGTAGTACGTGCAAAGAGTCTTATGTGCTTGCTCCTCGTCTTTCCAGATGACCGACACACAGAAAGTTTTAAGTGAAGAGGATGTTAGTCATCTGATAAAATAACTCCTGCTAGATGTTTACATGAGTTAATATGTTTATCCACAACTGTCTTAACTAGGAACTTTAGAGGTACACGACTAACTACTTCTGCTGACAATCTTCAAAGTTCTACACAATATAACATGGTCTCTTTTCAGTAACCCAGGAAAAAATAAAGCAGAGCAATAGAGAAGGACAGGCAAGATGCAGGAGTTTATAAAACATAAGAGGAGAGGCTGAGTAATAACAGATACTCTCAGCTTCCTAATATAGAAAGTTAGGCGGAAAATTCTTTTGGGAATTGGTGAGATATGAGGAGACCAGGTAAGGTTCAAAGAAAAACACACACTAAGATAAATCATACTTGTAATATTCTCCAATGTGCAACTATCAATAGAACAGGAATCATGAGAACTAAGCAGTTTACGTAAATTATGTTCATGTCTAAAACTAAAGTTTATGGTCTGACATTTTGATGAATTACGCATAAGACCATTCTCGGAGGACCATCGCCTAACAGTAGACAGGAAATTATTTAGTTGAGAGCAATCTGCTGAAGAGGAGATGAGTATGGAAACTGTTACGTCACCAGCATATTTAATGAACTTGAAACCAGCTGAAGACGGTAGGTCATGCAGAAAGAATGAGAAAACAAATGGGGAAATGATGAGTCATTGGGGAACTCCAGTCACAGTAAGCAATGAGGCGGAGCGCTTCGCTCTGTGAACAGTATGTGGCTTCCTGTCAGACAAATAGGACTCAGTATTTGTCCCAGTAAGCTTGTTCAGCAAAGGAGGTCTTGGGACAGATCACATAACTTTCCCTAGAAGGTTTTAACACTTCAGGAACAGATAATTAAATATAGTTTAATTTGTTATGCATTTTGGTTAGTAATCACCAAATAAAATAGCCAGTGGTGACTGACTGTTAATTTAAGTTTTAATTTGAATACGTGATAGTTGCAGTAATGTTCTGGGGAAATTCTCAGAGATTTTGTGCTTACAGAGTTTTTGTCACAAAGAGAATTCTTAATTTTCGAAAAACAAAAACTGTAATTGAATTAAGAGTAACATATCGGCTCCCAAAGTATTGTTTACTTTTTAAAGCAAATCAAGTTGGTAAATTATTGATATATCTGAATACAAGAGATTTACTTTCAGTATCCTGGTGAAACTTCATCGACTGAGATGACTGGAACATGTACTGCGCATGGCAAGTCGCTGCCTACCTCGAAACGAAATGCTATGAGAAGTTGGATTAGATTGGAAGAGAGTTCAAGATGGCCAAACCGAGACGTGGCATCAGCGCATGAAGTTCTTGATTGTTAGTCTGAGTTGTGGAGAGAGGTGTAGACTACCTGGCTGGGGTACAGAAATCAGTGGTTCAGAACTCTTGGTGATGTACCGTAAAATCGATCAGTGGCGCAGATGTATTTATTCTTTGATTTCTTCCAAAGCTTGAGTGTTATAACTAGTCTTAATTTTTAAATTTACTTTCCTCTCATACACTTATGTCTTTCCTATCCACTTGTTCTTCGTGTGACAACTCGAACCGATCTACTTGTGTACGAGGTTTCACGGTGATTTTATCTGTTTGCATCTTTTCGTAGTTCTACTGATACATGTTAGACTGTTATCATATAGAAGAGGACAGTCGCTGAACCTGTCACATTACCACAGCTGTGTATTGTAAATGTCAATAAATCTTCAGTTGTTAACTGACATAACTTGATGTACACACGTCCCTTAATGATAAACAGATTCTTCAGTTGCCTGAATGTGTATGTTGATGGGTCGTTTACTGACCACAAGACAAAATAATCGCTGATAACTCTATCTAACAATCCGATAACTCCCAACTAATCCATTTACAAGCAGACAAAATCAACGAGGAACCTCCCACACAAGTCCATTGGTTCAAGTTACCACACTTCACAGTAGTATACAAAGAGTAAGTGGATAGAAAAAGACTAATATCCCAGCGGATAAAGTTGGGTGACAGAATAAACAATTTGAAGATAAAGGTTAGTGTAAATATTCAGGCTGCAGAAAACGTCAAAGAGTGAATATATTTGGGTCATTGTGACCAATTTCCAGCGGTCACAAAGAGTTCTCAAATATTGATTCACATATCTCACCGAACTTCAACCAGATAGTCTACACATCTCTGTACGACTCGGACCAACAGTCAGAGACGTCATACACTGACACAGTGTCTTGCTTTGGTCATCCTGAACTATTTTTTAACCTAATCCAACTTCCTCTAGTATGGCACGTCAAGGTAGGCGGTGGCTTGGTATGCGGTTTACATATCTAAGCCACCTCACACGATCAAGATTCAAAACCTCATCAGTCCACTTGCCTTTTTTGCCTAGTATGTTTCGCCTGACCTCAACAATGTTCACAAGCTGATTACACCAAATGCGAGCAATACTAAGAAGATACCTATGATCAAACCCCTGAAACCGCTTCATGTCATCTACTTTCAACGGCCGCATTTCGCAGCCGTATAATAGGACAACAAACGTCAGCGCAGTATGCTCGTCCTTTGGTAGATATTCAGGTATCTCGCCTGCGCCACGGATGACGCAAATTGGCAAGTGTCAAACAGCCCTTTTGTATCTGAGCTGAAACCCGGTCAGCAACCAGCCCATTCAGGCTGATGTAACTCCCCAAGTAATCAAAGTGGTTGGCACATTCCACCACTTCACTCCCTATCATTAAACTGGTAGTACTACCAGCATATCAGTCCTGGAGCACCATCTTATATTCGACAGATAAGAAACGCATGCCACACATACTCAGATTTTTTATGAAGGCGTTTAGAAGCCCCTCGATTTTGTCAGCTTTTTCACCTAGAATAACAGGACAATATCGTTTGCGTGCTCCGAGTCAATCAGATGACTACCATATCAATCCCTGTGAAGTCAGACGTTCCTAAGGTTATGTTCATTAGTACGTCTATAACGAAGTTAAACAGGAACAGTGACAGGGTCCCTGGAGGACACCACTAGTTGTCATGAATTCTGATGATACTTACACACATTAATGATAAAATTGTGATTCATTGTCAAACACAGCTAATCTAATCACGTTACTATATATATATATATATATATATATATATATATATATATATATACGCTAAAGAACAAAACGATTTTGAAATATTAGTTTGGTGAAGTCCGTCTTTTGACTAACGAACTGCAGATGTGCTATTAATTTCACCGATACCTAAGAAAGTATATACTGAATGACCGCTTAACGACAGAAAAATAAAAGTAGTTCTAATGCTCTTTATTTATAGAAAGAATCACTTACTTTCACTTTCGACTTCCAGATCGATGCCTGTGCCCGGAGCAATGCTTTCACCTTCAATAACGCCTGATCTTTCATGATCATCTGAAACAATAGCAACAATCACATAGATGATCAGTATATGGGGAATAAAATATAATTATCAGCGTTAATTTAACATTTAGAAAGTTTGGACTAGGGAATAAGTGTGAATAATGTTTTGGCATAGTTCTGAATGTCTATAATACTGGTAAAGGAGAAACGATAGAGAATATGTACTGTTAACTAAAAAGCTCAGTCTCCCATTTACATGTCACAGGTGCTCGAGAAGATAAGCTTCGGTAGATTAATATACTTATTAGGTGAATCTATACATATTACCTTAAGAACTTTCGGTCAATGGGAATAAACGTTATCTTCATGTCAAGAAATAGTATGTTAGGCAACAATATGCTCCAGAATATAGTAGACTGGAGTCCAGTCGATAAACCCACCATGCAGCCTAGAAATGTGCCTCATTTCTCAAAGTTTACTACTCTAATCAAACGACAGACAGTTACACAACCTGGGATCTCAAACTGCTAGCTGAAATGTTCCTTAAAGTCTCCTGTTTATTTATCCTGTTGTTACTTTCGGAAATAGACAGCTGACCCTATACAAATAGTATATGTGGTTGAATGATTATAATCAAATATCATTTAAAAACTTTGTGAAATCCACCCATAACACACATTAGGTATATGAACTTGTGTATTGGAAGTTCAAACTACTTCCAAGCTCATAATTTACAGTGACAAAAAACATAGAAAAAAGCTCATTTTGGCTATGCTGCCAAACGGGTTTGAAAGTTTATTCATGAGCAAAAACGAGTAATTAATAAGAAGCATAAAACGAAGAATGTAACAGCCTTTCACCAAATTATTAACGGAGTAGCGTTCTCTAAAAATGATGCGCATTAACTACATGAATGTTTTCCAGAACTTTTATCTCAGTAATGATATTGAGTTTTATCGCTATTAGACAGTATGCAATTCAAAACAATTGAAGCAGACAACCATATTTGTTTTGAACCTAGTATGGGTATGCAGTGGTTCAAAACGAACCACTTGAAAGATTTTTGGATACCTACAACAGACTGATATAGCTTCGGGATAAGTACACGAAAGCAACGACGAAAACGGTCGTTCATAAACAAATGTAAATTCAACTAGAATATTTGTCAGAACCCCAGAAGTTAATCTAAGGTTTGTTTTTCTTAAAGAACATTCAAGTGTCTCAGATTTTATAGTCTTTTGTCATCAGTCAGTTGGATGCACGTATCAGTAATGCTAAATATACAAAACGTCAACATTTTCTGCAGTTGGATTTCACAAATTTAGATAAAGCCTTGTTCGTGTTGTATGTCAAACTTTTTGTGAGGTAAAAGTGCGTTGGTAACGTACAACTTTTCGATTGTTCGGATCGTTCCCGAATTTCGAGCTGAGTATGAGTAGGAAGTGGTTCATTCAAGTTTTCTAATCCCAAGACATGAGGATAAAATTCACGGTTTTCAAACGCTTATGACTTCACACTTGGCTTAAAAACCTTGTGAAATCGAAATCTCGAATAATTACTCAGGTTTTCTAGTTTTAAAATGTCTTAACATTTAGACGCTTGACAACTGTCATAAGCATGGTTTTACTACTTTAGACGCTCATTAGGATGCATCTGAGATGATGAGTACTTTTTAGTCAGGCATAAAACCAATTACCCAGAAGATCAATAGGCCCAACATAGTCTTTTAGCGAGAAGAGGTAAGTTGGTTGACGAGGTTGTAAACCTTCATCGACTGAGATGGTTGGGACACATGTTACGTATGCCTATTCGCCGACTGCCTCATCAAACAATGTTGGCTGAAGTAGGTCCAGACTGGAAAAAGGCCAGAGGCGACCAGACCAAAACATGACACCAATATATGAAGTCTTTGACTGTCGGTTTAAGCCATGTGGGGCGATGCAGACTAGGTGGTTGGGGTCCACGGGACGAGAGGAACCAGTGGTTGCAGACTTTACGTGATATGGCCCAGAACTAATGTCAGTGGCGCAGATGTATACATATATTATCCTCGTCTTAACGACGCTATACCGAATTTCACCATTTTCTCATTCTTCATAACTCTCTTTTAGTACTTTATATTTCCTTTGACTGAATTTTCTTATCTTCATCTTCGACTTCAGTGCCCTTTTACTTGATGTACTGATATGAGGTGTAGCAACTCGAACGGTTACGCAGTAATGCCTGGTCCTATGTTGATTTGGATGGATGGATGAGTGTGGAATGCAGTGCTTACGAATGAAAAATAAGACGTTAAGTACTTAAAAAAAAGTATTTCCTACAGTAATATAAATCTATCTAGTTTCATAACAGTAGTCTCATACGTTTTGGGATAGGACAGCCTTGGAAATAGAACCATGTGGTTTTTTGGTATGTTTCTATTCCAAATTTAAATCCAATGAAAATGATGCACAAAACTGTGGATCGGAGCATTCCATTGGTGGTCTGTGATTGCAAGGATATGGTAAATTATTCCTCACGGACTTTGGAAGATAAGGTTGTGCGGAACGGTATATCTAGTATTTTCAGTTTTTCACACGTACATGAATATGGAAATATCCTTCCAACATGTTTGAATGCATATATATCTCAGCTGCATACATAGTGCAGAGTAACTTAGTTAACGAATACTATTTACATTATACAAACTGCACTCACAGAGAAACGGGGAAGACGGAGTTAGAATATGTTGCCTCCTGAGGTTTTAAACGCTGCAGTATAACAATAATTACTATTTTTATTCATAAACTTGCAAACTGTTCACTGATCAAATGCACCTGGTTACTTGTGTTAAATAGCTTTCATTTTCAGTAATCTCGGTGGTTTTATAATATTTTGCAGGTCTCTTGTTGTTCTCCTGGGCACAATAAAAACCCTCTAAAAGCCTGACATACGGAAGAAAAATGCGTGGGATCTCCGGCTAGAAAATTTTGCATACATTGATATACTACTGATAAGCAGGCCATATTCAACCAAATAATGCGGATCAACGATATCAAAATATTTCGTAAACTTCTATTATTTATATCTGCTACTTTGTCACATTAAAGCAACTATTTAACTGCGCACATTGGCGCAGATCAATTATTGTGATGAATACAAACGATTGACACTACAATATATAACCAGTACATATTGGTTGCAGGTTTGCGCTGGGGTAGCGGGTTGTAAAGTAAGTGCAACCAGATGTACCTAAGGGATGAGTGCGCATGACCTACGGTAGGCCACATGCCTATGTAGACGCAGTTCCTATAAATCTCAGCAAAAGACTCAGTATTTCCATCAGACTTCTGAAGATATTGTCAGCAAGACATATTCCATAAGTCTACTGTTTTAATATTTCAGACTTTAACTCGGCGTTAAGAGTCATTTGTTTCATAAGATCAAAGCTCCTCAAAGAATGACAAGCAAATGAAGTCAGACGCAGGTCAAAATCTATTACAATAAAAAGAGAAACTATGCGTAGCCAAAATATACAGAGCAGAGCAGAGAATACTTCAAAGCCCTTCATTCTCGGTCATGTATATACTGTAAGTTTTCCGCACAGTTTATCGTTTTCCCTGAAAAGGTGTTAACTAAGCATATAATTATTGACTTGTATAGACAGTTGCAACAGATTTTGCGGCGAAGACAGAGTCCACAATGACAAAAAGGCAACCACATCTTTTTAAAAAAATTTAAAAATATATTTTACCTTCGGAAGCAGCAAGACCAAGTTTTACAAGACGAAATAAACGGTTGGAGGGACCACATGCAGTTGATGGGCTCACCAAATTGACCAGATTGACCGCCATGGTCTGGAAGCCGTCATAAAATAGTTGACTGTCATCATATATAGAATGGAAAACCATGTACCTTATTATTAGACGATACAACAAATCTCTCTCCTTGAAGGACATTGTTAACGCAACAATTGTATGTCCCACCGTGTTTCAACACCCAATATCTTTTTCGTAAAAAAAGGCAAGTTGTCGAACTGTCGTGTTAAGGTTCTGAAGCTCAGTGTTTCATGTTCGTTTTCACCCCAATGTGTGCTTTGGAATTTTTTTCCTCCATGTACCTGTTTGCGTTGTGGATGATTATATTAAAACTCACCGATATAGTGAATCAACACGACAGGGTTAATAACTTCTTTCAGGACGTTTTGGTTGTTTGCTGATTCGCATCTTTGCAGTAAGCAGCGTTTATATGACGAAATTATTAAGCCACTAGAAAGATCAGTGGTCCTCCTTGAACTTCCAAAAGGATGGAAGCTCAAAGTTGTTTCAATTATCATTGAAACGTAACAAACTTCCCCGAAATCAATAGCCTAGGGTTTGACGACTTTCGACATTGATGCTGACCTTGATGGTTTAACTGGACTCGCTAAGCTGAAGGCACTCGGTCACGCATCCGCTCCATTTGGCACGTTGTCATGTTACGTCTCACTGCTCGTATTCGACTCCAGCCAGTTAGTTCGAACGCATCTGTATCTTGGCACAACCATCCAAATATACTATTCCATCCGACTACGCTATCGTGTTTTTCCTTGGCCTCGTATTCGTGTGTATAAAACAAGTTCGAATAATTAGTGACTGGTCTTTGTACTCTTAAAGTTCTCACCAGAACAAATCCTAAAGCATCAGTCAGGCGAGAAGTAAAAGAAAAGTCTTGTGTGTGACGGAAAACGTAAGAAAACGGATCTATGTGTGGCCATATTGAATTTTACCTATAAGTCAAGATTAAGGGAATCTTTAGACTTTGCTGAACCAGTTTTTCTGTGTAGGTTAGCGGTAAATTGTGTTTGTCCGCGCGTCTGTCTAACAATCTTTTAAATGATTCCACTTTGAGAGCCACTGCTGTTTTTCGTGGTTAGGTGTTCCATATTACGCATACTCTCAGTGGAAAGAAGTTGGCCCTGACCCTGGTGTTGTCTTTCCTATGCATTACTCTTACTTGTTTTCCAGGTGGCAGTCTATGATGGGATGGTAGTGACCGCCTCTCTGTATGGTTCGCCTGGTGGCTAATCGTGTTCACTGTTATCGGTCTACCTCTTTTCCAGCAGTAGTTAGCAATAAACAGGAGGCACTACGAATAAGGTTGACTTCCTAACCCATGGATATATTTCACTGCCTCTCTGCGTTTGCCCTTCAGGTGGACTTATGAGATCTTTTGGAGGGGGGCGTGTTGTTCGTTGTGTGGCAGCGCGAATGACTGAGCGGATTATACTTTCGATCACTGGTCAGTACTCATGCCCTATGGGACCGCCAACATCTCTTTACCAATCATGGATGAACGCGAGTGCTGTTTACAGGCAGACTCTATCAATCGTCAGCACATAGTCGAACGACAATGGATGCCCGTTCAACCCGTGTCAAATGATGTCCCTGACGTTTTTGCGTAGACCAGCCGGTGAGAAAATTGATCTGAGTTTATGATTTAATGTCCTACTGACATTAACTCACATAAGATTCATGATGAAGTCCAATCACTCCCTCATAGCTGCTCACCAAATATTCTTTGGGAAGGAAATGCCATTTTAGAGCTAATTGTCTTCCATTTTCGGACGTACACACAATTCATGCAGTATTCTGACTAAGTCCAGTGTTAATCATTCGAAGGATTAAGATAATAGAGTAGAAGTCAGCTGAGCATGTCATCTACAAGGCAGTAATGCAAGAGAACCCCTAGTGTATCTTTCAATTACTTATTTATCACCCAAGAGATCGTTTCGTGTTTTCAGGTAACAATCACCCAATGGAGGGATTTAAAAAATGTACTTCGACGTAGACTTTTCTCTCACCTGTGTGCTAAGTTTTGCCATGTTTCTTACAACCAAGTAACGAATCGTTTGGTGGTGGGTTGTTTCCAACTATTTCTGGAGGGTAGAAACATCTATTGCAAGGCATATTTCCCTCAACTCTTCCACTTGTTGCCATTTGCCTGTCCAGGATCTCAGGTGTGTTATTTTTAAAGTGGCGGGCCGGAGTGTTCAGTAACCGCTAATTGAGTCATTCTACTTGCCATCATGAACATTTTGAATGGCAGTGATTCAACTGTAACTTCAGTCAGTCACTGAGGGAATCGGAAGCCCATAGCGTATCTGTTGTACTCTAAGGTTCCTCACACAGTTATAAATTATGCAGCCAGAAAACTTCTGAATAATCAGGGGGCGAAACGCGGATACCTCCTTCACATCCTGCACTAATAGTCCAGTAGTTTCGGACACTCAACAAGTTGAATTAAAAAATCTAACATTTGAAGTTGTGTCGAAAAATATTCAGGATTCATATCTTCAACAGGATATTTAGAATCATGTAGTACATTATTCTTTCCATAACTTCACATTCAGTACAAAACCCGAACTTCAAACCCGGACGATGACTGCCTGCTTCAAGTTGGGGTGTGACCTAAATTTAAGATATGACCGATTAGAAGAACTCAAAAACATATGCGCAAAAAGAGTTGAAAATTCAAGATTTGTCCTAGTGCGAACTTTAAAAGTACAAGGACCAATCACTAATTATTCGAACTTGTTTTATACACACGAATACGAGGCCAAGGAAAAACACGATAGCGTAGTCGGATGGAATAGTATATTTGGATGGTTGTGCCAAGATACAGATGCGTTCGAACTAACTGGCTGGAGTCGAATACGAGCAGTGAGACGTAACATGACAACGTGCCAAATGGAGCGGATGCGTGACCGAGTGCCTTCAGCTTAGCGAGTCCAGTTAAACCATCAAGGTCAGCATCAATGTCGAAAGTCGTCAAACCCTAGGCTATTGATTTTGGGGAAGTTTGTTGCGCTACACACGCACTGTATGGATAATCTATAGCTGATGCCAACAAACTCTGAATATTTGGTAGGAATAGAATTCCTGAGGACCTGTCCGGTTCGAAAAGGTTCGAGTACTAGCCAATAACTCAGTAGTTTTAATATTGTGAAGGTACAAATGAAGCTGAATGTTACGGAACACTCAGGATTACTCAGAAGGTTTGTATTATACTTACTGGGGATATGTTATCCGCCGAAACCCCACTTCGTTTCTTCTCAATCAATGATTTGTGCCCCGACAGCAAGACATTACTTGAGGGTTAATTCAAACCCCATGGGAAAGGTTCAGAGGTCAGGCATAAGTCTGACGATTACTGTGGTTGATTCAACCTGCAAGGAATCACTCCAGGAGTTGAAGTTTTTTCCGACGCGTGCTAAGGAGAAAAGAGACTTACTAATATTGTGCTGGTTTCTTGGGAGCGACTTCTGACTTGACTTTGCTCTTCTCCTACCAACTGGTGTAGAACACCTCAGGAATGTTAATCGTGGACTAGAAGTGGCGATGATGAACCTTGTGATAGTGTAGTGTCGGTTTTCTTGCTTCACGAACCTTCAGAGGTGGCTAACTGAACAACCATACTCGTGTACACTCAGTCGAGTCATTAAAGAAGGGACTGAACGGGAAAAAGCGTGCGCCAGAGACTGATCGATATTATGCACCAGCCTTCTATGTTTAAGAGGAAAATCAGTAAACTTGGGTTTGAAACTGATCGTCCAGCGGGATTTGTGGTTTTGACTAGAAAAGGCTCCATGGCAAAGGCTTGGAATGGCCCCCTCAAAATGGATCCAGGTTACCTACCATTTTGGCTCATGCGGCCTGATTACTATTAGACATGGGGCACGTCAGATGGTTGCTGTTTTGTGCTGTGATATATCATGGGCATTCGATGAAATTTTGCACCGCGTCCACGATTGTTTGCTTAACTTTTCAAAAGGGTTCCTAACTGATATCACCCAAATTACCAGAAGTAAACCGATGTTGCCCGCTGTCGAGGATATCCTAACCAAGGTTTCACAAGGAAGAGTTGATGGATATCTTTATTTTACGGCACATACCAACACTTTCACAACCGTATTGCCTCAAACCAAGCTTTGGTACCCGCTGACAGACTAATGATCGTTAACTCTTGCTAAAAATGTGTGCCGCGTGATTTACTAGCTTCTGTTCAACATTATGTGAGGTTACTTTAAGGGGTGATACGGGCGGGAACTAGTCTTTATTGGAACCCGCATTCTTGGTCTGTATCTTAAGTAGGTGGACAAAAACCGTATAAATGCGGTTCTGCACTGAACCATCGGCCGAAGTTATTTGTTGATTTATCTGTCTCCAAACGAACGTCTCAGATCTTGATGAAGTCACGCAGACGTCTTGAACATAGTGTCCACGACCCAAGCGCCTGTAAACGACTGTTGTACCACAGAGTTTGACTTTAACCCACCTTTAAAATTTTATATCTTATTAACAACAGAGTATGGCAACATGCACTTCAAGCCGCATGATGCGAAGTATCACACTAGGGTTGGAAACAACTGAAAGATGATTCTTACGGTAAACCTTATCTTTTTTCACAGTGCACTCTAATCTTGCATGTACTGAGCCGCAAAGATTAGCCACATTTACGGGTCACCTTGTTGTCTCTCAGATTTCTTTTGTCATCCTATCGAACCAACCCCGGATTTCAATTATAAGCTGAGATACGCTGGGACGTTAGTCGTGGCCAAGGGTTCTCACTCCAACCCACAGACTTTTTTCTCTCAGTATGTTCTCCCTGTCACTTGAACCACACCCGTAGCGGTTGCTGAATAAAACTTTGGCCCTCACCTGCGGAGCGGCAGGTTCCTCATGGATCGCAAAGCTGTTGATTTCCCAGGCATCGTTCCTCGGTTCGCTTTCTATACTGATATTCTGGGTCTTTTATATGCAGACTAACCGTGATCCCGAATGGCGCACATTTCCAAGCTCGCGATTGTGTTTCGTGTACCGCCGGAAAAATCTCAAAACACAGAGATAATATTTGGTTTCTCTTCATGAAAAGTGATTTGCCTATGAACGCTGTGGTAGTGGGTACATGCTGAGAAAACGCATATGTGTATAGGCATCTATTAGTAATAAATAAATATTGGTTCATCATGAACGTACTGAAGATAAAAATATCTGGCCGTCATGTCGATATGACTCAACACTAATATTATAGATGTCGGGAGGGGGTATATTTTCCATCTCGCAATCCGACAGTCCCAAAGATATCACGAGAATACTACCTCAATTGACTAGTGTGGGAAGTGACACTACCCAGTCATGGTGTAACCATTGCATATCGTGTTAAAACCAACTTGTGGCCATGTGAATGTGTTGCATCTGTTTATCGGGGATAAATAAATTAGTTTACCGTCAGATGATCTCATTCAAGGCGACATATGATTCATCAACTTTGCTGACCAAGTTCTGCTACCATGTCAAGGACAGTGGCGGTTTATACGTATAATACGGGGATACTTTACGACGTTTCTGCGCTTTTATTTTCAATTGATCAGCTTCCCAGCGCAAAATGCTTCAGAATATATATGATGACGATGTGTAACTTGGAAGACCTTGTTCTGTGTCGGCAAAACTAAAATAAAAATCGTATCGTACGGAATTTAACTGCGCTATTAAGAGAGGAAAGACTTTGCGAGACCAGAAGCACCATATGGTATGCATTTGCCAAATTCTACACACCAGTGCATATCTAGGAAGGAAAGCCGGCTTGTTTTAGTGTTTTAAATGAGTAGGCGGTAAGCTTGTGATCAGCCTTTTCGGTCTGGCACATGGGGAGCAATTCGATGGACGCAATCTATCCCCACCAACATATCCCCTGAAATGGAGTTTGCAGGGACAAGTGGTTCCTCAAAATCGATCACCTAGGGTTTGGCGAAATTCAGCACTGGTGGTGGCCTTCATAGATTTAACGAATATATGATCAAGTGTTCATTTAGCAAGTAGTTGTGTTACGCTGGGTTGCTCGTACATGAACCTCTGGAACAATAGTCGGACTACATTGGCATTTCGGTACGGTCTGTCATATATTAAATTCCATCTGACTACTCGGTCGTATTCTTCCTTGGTCGCGCAGTCGTGGATGTATAACAAGTACGACTGACCTTTGCGCGTGTCAACTTTACCTAAGATCATTTCCTAAGAGTTCTTTGCTACAAGCATTCCAAATCTGTGGTGATGAATTCCACACAGATATTTTTTTGCCCTTTATTTTCCGCTAAGACCGATGGTTTCCAAGGCAATCATAGGAATGCCCAAAAGCTACCGGTGAATCAGCTAAGTGTGAGGAAGCATTTCTCCTGTGGCGTGGTCAGTGGCCTTAACGCTGTCATACCTGTCAGCATAAGCCAAATCATTTGACTCATTCAACGAGAAACTGGACCGTCACGGAGATATCTAACGCAGGGATCAACCCTGGATAACAGTTAGTATCTATCGACTTTTAGAATCATTTCTATCGTAGATTTTCAACTGCTCCAGGCCTTATCTGAAGTTCGGGACTTCCGTTTTTATCAATCAAGCTTAGAGCACATGCAGAGGCGCCCTAACAAATATATCCGGTAACTTAGGCCAAAAACATATGAAGAACCACTGATCTATATCCTCTGGAATATAAGAGACTAAGAGGAGGCTTGATAATAGCTCGCAGCATGTTCAGCACCCTCGGACACCTACTCTGACACTTGTTGAGTCTTAGTTATGGCACCAATCTTGGCGGATGCATGCAGAAACTGAGCCTATGGCTCGGCAGGTTAGATGTTAGAAACAACTTCTACTCTATTCCCTAGGAGTTGTTAAACTCGGAAATGCCCCTTCTGGAAAAATGACCTGGATCATTTCGTCTGAGTCCTTGAAGCCCCGTCTTGATACCTACTTAAGATATCCAAATGGTTCGAATGGTTGCTGGCAGAATAGAAGAGGCTTTCGCTTAACTGGCTTCCACGTCTAAAATCCATGGGTCACTACTACTTGTAGTTGGTAAACTGTGTACAGGTAAAGGAGTAGGAGAACGGTGGCGGTCAAAATCTGAAAATCAATTAGTTCAGGGCAGATCCCAGCCACATCTCAAGTGAGTATCCAGTCGGCGTTGAATGGATTCAGACGAATTAGTCTGGATCTCATTCTTGAGAAACAGAAGTTGCGTCTGATATCTAGCTTGCTCTGTCCCAGGCTTAGTTCCTATATGCGTCCTCTAAGATTAGTACTGCAGATAAGATAGAATAAGTGACGGAGTGGGTGACCAGGCGCTATTAGAATGTTGAGTCATTATCAAGTCTCCTCTTAGCCTTCTGCATTCCAGAGGACACACATCCAGAGCAACCAGTATTATCCGTATGTTTTAGACCCAAGTCCTCGAATAGATTTTGTCGAGCGCTTCTGGGTGTGCTCTAAGCTTAGTTTGTCCTGGAGAGAAGGGGGAAGATGATGATCCTGAACTCCAGGCGAGGCTGTTTGAAGCAGTCAAAAATTTGGTGGAAGCATCTACGATCGAGCTGTCCGAAAATCCGTCCACGAAATTCTTATCCGTGACAGTTGGCGTGGGATTTTAAGTCTTAAGGGACTTAGACGCCCAAATCCTTCTCTTTCGGTGATGCCTCAAGTCTCATGTCGTTGAGGCTATATACATGAAATGCATTGTGTTTTATGTGCATCACCTCTCATTTCTCAGTAGTAAATGAAAGGCCGTTGTTGACTACCTAGTTGTGAAGTTGAGTTTAGTATTCCTGCAGAGAAACACGGTCTTCTTCACTGTTGATTTCCGTCCCAAGTTTTACGTCGTCCGCAAAGAAGGATTTCTGAAGAAACCTGTTGAGGCAAGTCATTGATATATGTTGTAAAAAGAAGAGACCCTAGTACTGAACCTTGGGGTACACCTCCGGTACATTCCGTTCCCTCAGAAATAGTGAAACCAACTCGAACTCTAGGTGAGTGACCTCGTAGATATGAGGACAACCAGTCATTGAGTAGAGGTCTAATCCCAACTAATTTCTATTTTCGATGAGGGAGCCGTGATTAACACGATCAAACGCCTTGGCAAAGTCTAGGTAGATAATACCAGTTCGTCCTTGACGGTCAGCAATGCTAGTCCACCGATCTACTAAAGTGAGCGGATTAGTAGTGCAGGAGTATCCCTTTCGAAATCTATATTGCTGGGGCGCAAAGACGTTGATCTTTGTGAGGTAATCCCACAGTCCATCGTATAAAAAGGATTCCATTGCTCTGGGAGGAATGGATAGAAGTGTCACTGGTCTGTATTTCCTTGGGTTGCCTCGTTGACCTCCTTTGAAGATTTGGGTTATGTGGCCCAGCTTTCAAGAGTCGGTTACTATCCCCTGACACAAAGATTTCTTAAGTGACTTACTCAAAGGTTCGGACATGATTGAAGCTCCTTCCTGCTGTGCCACCGGATGGATTTTATCCGGTCCCGGAGAGGTGTTTTCGGTGAGCAGTAGCAGTTTTTACCATACTGGTTCAGCACTTAGGTAGACGACCAAGAGCCTCACTTCCTTAGTGGGGTATTCTTAAGTTCCGGAGTAGGTGGACGATGACGAGAAGATTTGCAGGTACTGGTCGGCCAAGAGCTCAGCTGCTTCAGCGTCTCTACTAGCTAGTTCGCTCGCACCTAGCAGTTGAGAGACTCCCACCTTAGCCCACCGGGGCGAAGTAGAGTAACGGGACAGACTTCTTGGGTTATGAAGAAACATGTCTGTAAGTCTGACTTGATGCCGGTGCCGATCGGCCCTTAATACCTTCGCACATATATTTCTTGTCTATTTGAATTGTCTGTAAGCATATTCGGTGCAAGTCCTTTTGTGTTCAGCCCAGCGATGTCTCTTTAACCTAATTAATCTGAAAGTGTGTTTCCTTTAGGCAGCCTGAAGCACCTAGGTCTCGAAGGTGAAACAGACTGATTGATCGCATGTATGATCTTGTCAAGTATGAATCTACAATGGGTGCTCATATCTTGCCATACATGGTTAACTTCCCAATCTTTCTACTCCAGTGCTATAAGAAGAGCCGGAGTATTAAGTCGCTTGAAGTTCCAACGATGTTCGTTGAAAGGTGTGGCTAGATTGGTTACGCAGACTAACTGATTATGACCTACTGAGAACTAACCAAATTTTCCCATTTCAACGGTCACTTTCTGTCCTTAATTCCATTTTAAGAAAACTAAAAACCATATGAGGTAGTGATACATGGATTCTAGATGCAAAACCCAGTTAAGTGAAAACTTCTATTCCGACAGTAACCATTTGGACCGTTCGGAATTCAACTATTTGCGTTACCTTAAGGTTATTGTAAAGACTTCTGGGACGTTCATTTCACGCACTAATACTTGGCTTACCATATCTATATGTTATCTAATAATGATCAATGAAAGGAAGTGAAATATTGGTAACTGCATTCTGAACAGATAACCCAACAAGTTATAATCATGATAACAGTTTGTTAGGATTCTTTATGTAACGAAATCTCAAGAGTTTCTGCGTTTTGGAAATCCCGTTATTCTTTGTGCGGAGTAGATGTTCTGGTATTTATGGACTTCACTTCAGTGCACTTGTGATGCAGTTGGAACGCCTTGTTGTAACTGTATTATATTTACAGTTATATCCCAGTAGCATATCGATTACTGGATGGTCTTAATAATATTGAGGGAGATGCTGCAAGTCTGGAAACTGCTGAAAATTCAGCGCATTTCGTTATATCTGCGTCCCGAGCCAGCTTTGCTCCGAGAGCACTTTATAAGTATGGTCAAAAACCGAAAATTGTATCTCTGATGCAAGTGAAAAGACTCACGAAATTCCCCTAAGTTAGCAAGCCATTTCCATTAAGCCGAAAGTCCCAAAGTTCGCCTGAAGTCAAAAGTCCCACAGTGCATCCAAAGTTTTTCTCCGTGATTAAGTTTTCAAATACTCATGTAAAATATGAAGTGTATCGAAAGATTTGTCGTCGGAGAATTATTGAATGTAGATTAAATGTCAGTTGGTTGTATTCCGTCTCAATGACGCTCTGTGGAAAATTCGGTAGACGGGTGCTCTGAATACTAGGAGACTGACTCTGGCACCACCTCACTTTCAGCGAGTCCATGAACCTGAGGGAACTGCATTACGAAACACATGAAGCCTACTAAGTTTCCTTTCTTCGGCCTTTTCTTCCACATTTTCGGTCTGTCACGATTGTTAGGAAACCATTTCTTGATGTCAGACACAATCTTTTCCGCCGTCACTCCTTCGTCATCACTGTAGTGCCTATGGATGTAAGGGACTAGAACTCACGAAAACCTTAGAAATTATTGTTTTCTTGAATAATCGCCTGCCTTGCGTTTGTAACTGTGAGTACTGTGTGCTGAGGTTGCATTCCAGTAGCGTATCCATTAAGCAAGGGACCGAAACACCAATGTATGCATCCACCAGACTCGACAACTATGCTGCTGTGTGACTACATTCAGGCTCCCATTCAAACTCCTGCATTCGCAGATCACTACCAGTAAGCCTACTGCGTGAATGTGCACAAGGTTTCTGAATGCATTTCGACTGGAAACAATCGAATGAAGTTGCTCGGAATTTTTTTACACTCGCCTAGTGACCGTCTACTCCGACACACCATCATCGTTATCAATATAGGTCTAGGCATAACTGCGTAACGATCCGATTTGATGCACTTTATATCAGAAAATCAAGCAAGAAAACAGTAAGAAGATAGAGTAGGAAATCAAAGTATACGCCAAAGTGGCAGAAAGTAGTGATGAAATAAGGCGGGATACGAAACTACTGATCCTGTTTGACGACTAAGATTATGATATGTGGATGCATCTACGCCAGTGGAGTTGATTCTAAGCTTTGTCACCTAAAATCTCCAACCACTGGTTTCTGTTGTTGCATGAGCCCCAATCAAGAAATATACATTTCTCTGCACAGGTCAGACGCCATGTCTTTCACTGGCCGCTTCTAACTTTTTTTCAGTTTAAACCTACTTCAGCGAACCATGCGCGATAAGGCTGATGGTGACTAGGCATATGCAACAGATGTCCCAGCCACCCGAGCCGATGCAGGTTCACAGCTTCATCAACTATCTTTCCTCCATAAAACTCTGCACGTAGCTTCCACGTTACTAACGTGGTGACACCGCGGCACACGATCTATTCTACGATAGTTATGGTGGTCGAACACCTGAAGCCTTCACATATCCCCTACCTTTAGTGGTCGCTTCTAAGATATGCAGTAGAACAAAGCTAACTGAAGTGCAGTACACTCCACCCTTAATAGAGTCGGATATCTGGGCGGCACCATAAATGACTTAAATTGGCAAAACTCGATGGATCCTTTTGTATCTATGCCGAGATTTCGTCAGTAACTGATCCGACTTTCTAGATAAGTAGTGGTCAACGCGCTCAACTGCACCACTCCCTATTTTTAGGTTATAGCGAAGACCAGCCCTGGAGTAAAAGTTTGCATTTTGGTGGGGAGAAACGCATCCCTAACATTCTCGAATTGCCTATCAGTTTCTGGAAAACTCTACATTTTATCAGCGTCTTCACTCAGTAGGGCTGCCCCGACACAGTGTTGCGTTAGGTAAGTTCATTTTGGGAAAAAAATAAAGGCGGCTAGGCTTAAATGTGGCATCAGTTCATTAAGTGTCTGGCTCTCGATCTGAGAGGTGTAGGAGGGTGTAAGCTTGCAGGCAGTAGTCCACTGCCGAGACTTGCGGTTGGAGACAAGGTGATATGTCTGAGAACCAATTGCAACCAGGCGATGCAACCACGCCCTGTCTTCATCATACCCGCTGTGGTGCATTTTGTATTTGCTTTATCCCCTCTTTTTGACCCTATGGCTTTCTACAGCTTTTGATTGTGCTATTTTTCATTCCCTTTTCTTTTCGCCTTGCATATTGATGTACTGATGTAAGGTGTGGCAACTTGGATGATTACGCAGTAATGTCGAGTTCCATTTTTATATTAACTCAGGGTGAGTTATGTGTCTTGGTTGGGATCCTAGCGATAGGAGAAATCAGTGGTTGGCAATATTAGGTGACAGTTCAAAATTGACTACAATGGCAGATATATTTTTGATTTTGTTTGATGGTTGGAATATTATTGTGGACATATATTTCTCACTTTACATCCGTTATCTTTCTCACTATCATTATTATTACTTATGGATTTCCACAATTTTTTCAGGTTGATATTTTGTATCAGTGTCAAGCTGTAATTTACTAGTTCAGACACGCAAATTTCACCTAGTGAGTAGTGATTTCAAGTTCCCTCAAGGTACTTAGGTAGCGTAACTAATCGCTACACAATAATTTCATCCCAGCATAGAATTCAAAGCTATGTGTGGTTACAGAGTCGCACTATTAATTTATGTTATTTAAACCAATACACTGTTGCACTGATTCTGTCTTTCCGTCTCCTTATGTTGTAAAGACCAATATTAGCGCCCGTATGTGTTACATTCTTTCTCACAGATGATTATTTCAAGACATATTGATCAAATTCACGGGTTGTAATGGTTATTACTAAATTGTCCTCAAAATTCATATTTTTATTTTGTACAGGGGTATATGCGTAGTTGAACATGGTCGAAGAAGAAACTTATCTACCAGAAGTAAAATGAATACATAGTTACCTTATTTCAGAATCATCCACTACAAAAATATTTTCGAGATATTGGAGTTTCAGATGCTGTGTCATATGAAATTTCCAAGAAGCCTAATGCGTTATCAGTGTTAAGATTTTCTTCTCATTTGCTGCCGTTTTTGAAGTGGATAAAATCTTTAAACTTTTCACTTCCATTTTGGTTCAGCTCACCAGTAAGTAACTACAAATGTTGATGTTATTTGTTAGCTCATAAGGCTATTTTGGCTTCGGAATGTTAATTTAATACGAAATAGTGATTTGCTTATTGCTGAGAATAAACTTGTAGTTGAGTACATATGCTGTACAGGAAACAGAGATCAGACCAGTTTAAAGAGGTAAGTAATAATGAAATCTAATTTACAGAGTTTAGATGGATCTTTGCAATGTTTCCCATTCTCGCTGGGTTGGCATTTTATCATTCTATGTACATGGCTTCCGTATTTCTTATGATTATTTCGTGTTTACTCATACCCGATATATTTCTTCTCATGGTGTCTGAGGGTTGTTTAGCCTCAGCATTGAAACAGATGAAGAATTTCTTCCAAGGATATCGTTCCGTTGTTCTTTTCCTACAAGATCTAAACACACGCCGGTACTTCGGTCCCAAGTAATTATTTGTAGATTACCGATAACCGAATAAAGGATTGTAGATAAGGAAACATTTAAACTGTTTCCTCTAATATACCACCAGACATACAGTTTTATGCAGATATATCTGGCTGAATTAGTTGATTTTTCTGTCAAATTAGCTGGTATGTGACCAAGTATTGTTTTTATTGACTGTCTCCTATGTAGATTTCATTGATGAAAATGATACAGATGTACCTTTGGAAATTTTAACTTCAGAACTTGTGCAGTTAAAGTTTGATGTGAAAGATGCATCTAAAGATCCTAGCATTGAGAATTTAAAAGTTTGTTATTTGTTGAATAAGTTTTTTACTTCTAGATGTTTTGTGAATTATCAAAAATTTTGGTCTCCGACCTCTTAATCAGACTGTCATTGAGCTTTTGTCAACGAACATGCAATACATGTCATATATGTGAGTTCCCCTATTTCAAATGCTTAGTACCCTCTGGATTATGCTATACACTTCATTTTCCATCTCACTCAGTTGAGTCTGTATGTATTTGGGAATTATTCAAGTACTACAACGGATATAATGGCTTGTGGAGATGAGGCTCATCGACTTAATTATTTCCACGTAGTGGGACTTGAGTTTAAATACAGCTCTACCTACTCCCATGTGGGCAACTCGATTGTATCGTATGCATTCATGTAGAAATCACAATCCAAAGCATAGCGCATAAATGCATGTACCAGGTCAAACTGTACTCATTTAAGCAGTTTGGAGGTTTGTGGGGATTTATTTGTTGATTTCACGTTGGCATTCATCATGGACTGATATCAGTTGGAGAAACATTGGAAACCTGAGAGCACTCAACAGCTCTTTCGTCCTAGTATGGAAATCCTCAGCAGTGCGCACCTATGACCCCTCCAAAGATCGAACCCAGAACCTTCAGGTCCCGTGGCCAGGATGTTACCATTGGATTCCGACCCAGTGGCCTCGGAACTTGAAGGTCCTCGGTTAGACCCTTGGCGGGGTCATGGGTGCACGCTGCCGAGGATTTCCATACTAGGACAAAACGGCTGTTCAGTGCTCTCCGGTTTCTAATGTTGCTCCAACTGACGTCAGTCCATAAAGAATACTAACCTGTACTCATGTATCACAGTTAAGGATTTCCCATATTCATTTTAAATTTTATACACCTTAAAGTACAAATACTATATTTCAGTTCTAGTCTCAAATAGTATAAGTATGGGTTATGTCGAATATTCAGGGTGTAATCGCACTATCAGCTTTTTTCAAAACATGAGACTTTCAATCAAATAAAGAAAAAAAGTGTCGGTGATTTTTATAGCGGATAGCCTTTAAAAGAATTGAAGGATCAAATACGTTGTATTGTTCTTTGTTCCGAATGTATCATTCGATCCGTACACAGTTTACTCATTTAGTCGTGCTTGCTGTACTGATATGTCAAGTAGAGTAACATTGTATTAGAGCTTTCTAACCGTATCGGTTGGGCCGGTCATATTGACTAGAACTTTTGCCTACTCAAATTCACCCTTTCGTTCACAATCTGACAGTTTCACTCATGAGTAGCTATTACTCTAGTGTCGGAAATTAAATCGTTGTTTGGTACATTGTTGTTTAAGCAGTTTGTTGTTTTTCACAAGATAACTAGTTTTTTCGTGCTTTTTTGAATCCAACAGTACAGTTCTCCGGTTGAAAGTAGATAAAGAACAGTATTTTTGTCAGGTAAATTCAATGTTAAGATAAAGAAACTAAACCGGGAAAAGATACCATGGTGGTATCTTTAAGATATCGGTTTGAAAAGATATTGAGTGTGACCGTCTCCTGGGATTTCGCTACAGAAGCTCTTTATTGTTCATGATTGACAGCATTAGGCGTAAGTAAAAGATTTGTTTCAATTTAGCCATAAGCATCAACCCCACAATGAGTTCACCTAGATCATCTCACCGTCACCCATCTCTGCAGGCTACCTGAAGAAGTTTACCATACTTCTTGATGATCTGTACTTAAAAGATATATTTCTACTCGAATAGCTACAAAATATCTACAGATGCTAAGTTTCTTCATTAGAGTATATTTAATCTGAATGGTCATTCGCTTTCAACCTAAGGTGACTGTAATATTCGATAATAGGTTTGTTTCAGGTTCCATTCACGTATTGCGACAGTGGAGTTATTGGCTTTTAGCCTTAAATTCAAGTTTCAGGTAAGGGATTTAATTAATCTTTTTAGGTTTTGAAGGTGAACTGGAGTAGTCAAATCATGTTACGCATTTTCAATAGTTGTTTGCTTCGAAGTACGATACTATGCTGCTAATGAGTTAGGTGTTCCAATCCCATTTTTCCTACCAAAGTTTGGGTAACCAGTTATCCAGTTGCCTCCACATTAAGTTAGAGAAGAAATAAAAATGACCGGAGTAGGGAGTAACGTCAAGCCACTGAATGAATGCCTTGGTTTGATCGGTGCATAAAATGAAGGCTGTGGTTATAATCCTGGAGATAATAGAAGCCACTGGTTACGTACTAAATAATACGATTCAAAACCGACCAGAGTTGAGCAAGTGCATTAAGCTTTTGGTTTTTATTTTAGTTGGGCATCTTGTAAGTACGTCGCGAAAGTACATAAGTATCTGTTACCTACGTGTTCATGCCTTTTTACTCACCTTATTATTTTTCTACTTTAATAAGTTTCTTTCTCCTATGACGTTACATAATGTGGCTACTTGCATCGATGTACTCATGTGTTGTTGTGGCAACTAAACTAACTGACACAACACTACGATGCACTGTTGCTATTTAGTTGCGAGTGCTGAGAAATACGAAATTTCCTGCCAACTATATCCCAAAATCTCACACCAAGATTGTTTTAACCGATTTAATTCATCTAACATCACGGCCACCCACTGGAGGCTTCATAAAAATCTCCCTTCTGAAATACACTTTTAATAGGCATTCCAGTACACAGTTAATAGATTATTTCAGTAACTTAATGGTCCCCAAAGATTATTCAGTCCAAAAATAGTTTGAACGAACAGTTGTTTTCAGTGGCTTCCTCTTCAGGCTTTATAGTTCTTGAGAATAGCTGAAATACAGTAGCCAATGTAAAGTATAGTGTAAAATTATTTCAATAGTTGAAACAGTCAGTATTGTGGGTAAATAGAGATCAAACCAAATTGATGTCAGTTTTGTCAGGTGGAATGATAATCGGTCTAGTTTGTTAGTTTAACGATGAAATCAATATGGACAGAACAATCATGATATAAAGTGGCAAAATCTAGAAATAATGAAATAATTTATGTACATCTATTGGAGTATGAATATGAGTATGTTTGTTTACTGGCGGTGAACTAATCCCTATGTGATAGATGTAATAAATCAACTAAAATGGAACTGCATTCTACCACAGTGGAGGATATTTGTAGGTCAGATGGATTATCTTGACTGTGTTACAGTCTCTGAGCTGGGTTGTTTAGTCATGGAGCTATCATCATCTTTCTAGACAACATCATCAGGACTAACTTCAATTTGAAGTAAGTTGTCAATGTCGCTCCGTGAGTGATTCAGTGGCTTGTCCTGATGAACTGATTTGTGATTAGTTGTTTCCTTTTATTGTTGTGTCATTGACTGTATAGATCTTCTTGTTGGCTGTTCTTCTACGTAACCTCTGACCTTTCTGTTGTATCGTACTGGTTAGTAGATTGGGTTTATGTCTATCCATCTATGGGATACTGACTGACGTGAATGGTAAGCTTCTAGGAATTCTCAGATATTCTTTGTGTTTTCTCTGTCGAAGATCTTGCACAGCAGAAAGGTCAGAGGTGAGACAGAGGAAGACAGTACAACCAAGATTCTACCACGGTGCCCAAGTTTTACTCTTATTTTAACCACTATGTATCGATGAGTTATATTCAAGTCGGGTAAAAAATCATGTGAATTCAATGGGGGAATCACAAATGTAAAGTGTTATATAAGGATTGAAAATGACTACTGGTAAATAGTACGAATAAACAAAGGCATAAAACTAATGATGCGTAAAAATGAATTTTTATCAATGAAATGAAGAAGATAGAGCAAGCGAATGTGATGGTAGTTTAGAATGTGAAATTTGTAGTAGGGAAGTTTATGAAGAACATATTTAACCCTATGTGCCCCATGGTGAATAAACTGGAGGGATATATTTCTTTTCAATGCAGACCAAGTTGTCTTGTATTGATTCCTACCGCTTCGGTTATAGGTAAGAGGCTAAGTCGTACTCCTTTATGGGAGATTGCAAGAAAAAGGATATGTCACAGGAAAGGTGTGATGTAACTTGTTTCGAAGGGATTAAATTATTGGTACACTTCGTCATTCCTTTCTTTAATCAAACTGGTGCATGTTAACGAGGGTGCAGCGATAGAGCTCTTTAAATATAACTTATATGACCAGCTTCACAAGAGCAGTTGAACTCATAAATGCACACTGAAGTGACCATTATTTGGTCTGGTTGAGAAATGGACAAAATGTTTCGCTGCAGTGAATGTTCTTTCGACAGATCTACTCAATCAGTGTTTTAAGATATCAAAGATAGTATCACCTTTGAAGGGTTTCTTAGCGATGTTATCTATCTTTATTTATAATCTCGATAGGTCTTAACATGTATTTACCTATGAAGTTTGCTGGATAGCCATTTTGCTGCAATGTTATCTTCAGTTTATTCATTTCTTCTTTCATACAGTCATCCGAAAATACATTTCATGTTCGGTAACTCGGACATTTGACTAAGCATTATTCATACTGAATTGTTATGAAGCTATTTATCTTAATTGCCTTGGTAGTTGGGTTTTCACTTATATCTACTATTTTGTTACTATTCATGTTGAGTGTAATATTAATGTCGACTTTTTTTTCAATTTTTTTTATCGCATACTTCATTTGGTTTTCTAGTTCACCGAAGCAGATTATTATGGAAGTGGAATTCTTTTCTGAATAGAATAAAAGATCGATTTGACAAGATGAATGAATTGCATACAATGATTTTGAATGGCAAGTTAACAAATGGGAACAATAATGGTATTGTAAAAGATTGTTCATCTCAAGAAAATGAAAAAAAGAGTTTGTATAACCCACTAGCTCGAATAACTAATGAATTATTATTGCATTTGCTTGTTTCAGTGGAACAGTACGTTGTACATTATATGCGGATAATATTTTTTTCTTATACTGATTTCGCATTTTCTTTTCTAGACGCTTGTTCAACTTTTCAAGCCATTAGATTATTATCTCAGCAGTGTTGGGGATTGACTGTTCGTAGAATAGTCTAATTGTCTTTCCAGTTGTTTACGTCTCATTTTCGTTGTGTATTCAGTAGTGGATAAAAATCTCATAGTTACTCATTCACTTGAACATACCATCCATTAGTTACAGATTAACTACCAAATCGGGGTTACTTTCACTGTCAATTTGAATACCACTTTTACGTCTGGCAAAGTTTTACCACTGTTATTAGCTAATGTATCCTAGTAGGGACTTTGTTGATAAGAAGCAATGTTAATTTGAAATTCTACACGCTATTGGTCACATAAGGCAGGTTTTCGTTGCTATGATCTTCGCTCCTAATACTCTGTAAGTTGTAAAGAGATCATTTCTAAATGTAGTTCACAATGGACACATCGAATTAAGGAATATTACGAAAATTTAATTTAAAGGTTTTTAGGGATTTATTGGTTTCATGTTGGTATTCATTATGAACTTTCATCAGTTAGAGGAACATTGAAAACCTGGGAGCACTAGACAGCTGTTTCGTCCTGGCATGAGACTCCTCAGCAGTGCGCATCCATGCTCTTGTCAGGGGTCGAACCCAGGACTTTCAGGTTCCGAGGCCAGCACATTACCATTGAGCCACTCGGTCGAAATCCATTGGCCCATATTTCCAACTTCTGTCAGTTCATAGCATAACATGACCATCATCCGATGTAATCGACCTCTAGTGGGGTCATGGGTGTGCACTTTTGAGGAGTCCCATAGTAGGATGAAGCAGCTATCCAGTGCTACCAGGTTTCCAATGTTCCTCCAACTGATGTCAGTCCGTGGTGACTATTGTGAAAATGCAAAATGAAGGGGATTAAACATGAAATAAATTCAAATAAGCTTTCATTTTTACCGGTTCTCTTTAGTGTTGAGATAGGCATAGCAGTGTCCTGTCCAACACTTCTGTGAGTTAGTGAATTGTACGGTGGTCAAGACTCCATATAAAAAGCCGGGAGATGTTAGTAGATTATAAGTTTTCACTGTTATCCTGCATCCTACCTTCCTACATTGCAGGGTGACCAGTCAGTCTGAGCATTAGGAAATTACTTACAGTTTGACAGTCCCTATAAAATGTGTCAAACTTAGTTACATTTTAGTTGATTTACCAGGTGTATTATGCAATGAAACAGTATTATTTACTAGATTAGGTTTCGGGCACAATTTGTTGTCCATAGTCTTATAATATGATATGGTACATCTAATCAACCAACTAAAGTGAATTTGAATCCTATCTCGATACTCAAGTCTTACTCTTATGTTAATGTGTCAAACTTACTCTGTGTAATGTATTACCAATCCCTTCCCCGTTAAACTATAATCATGTCTGATTACCATCATATTGTACTGCAACCAAATGGGAACGATGCTACGAAACTAGTAGTCATATCATAGGATATACTCGAATGCCTCCTATTCATCGCCTTGAAGTTTATAAATATTAGACAAAATCTCAAGCCAACACCTTGTACACTTGTAACCTTCAGCAACCAAATAAATGTCTCAACGACCTTGATGTATTTACAGTTGTATATCAATTCGAACAGGTGTTGTTCAGTATTTTGGTCAGAGATATTTAGTGAAAAGAATCATTCTTTAACAACATCTTTTAAAGTAGTGTTTAATGACACTGGTTGGAATCTTCGAAGCGTCTTGGAATTCTTTGAAATTGAGCTTACTCTTTACTAACAACTAGTTAATGGGTGAAGAACCTTGGTAAATAAGTTCATTTGGATCACTTTGAACATAGTGCAGTGCACAAGGATATTTTTCGTTTAGTTAAGTAATCGAGTTGTATATCACCCTTCATCGGAGGAATTCGCTTATGACTTTGGACTGCGGGAAGGGTGCTGTTTTGCCTACCATCAAGCGGTTAATTTACGTCCGTGAAAGTGTGTTACTATATTGCAAGTACAAGGAGCATACTTTCATCTGTTTATTATTTTTCAGTTCTGTGGGTTCAAGCATATAAAGCTATTATATAAACTCATTCGTCTCAATTTTGCTAAGATGTTATTAACTAATTGATTGTGAATGATTACTACATAAGAATTACAGTAAGGGTGGCTCCTTATTTCACTAACCGGACGCATTCGTGTTTATTTTTTATATTTAAAGTCCTAAAAACTATCAGTATTCATTATCTTTTTCATTTTCTTAGTGCTAACAATCTGAAATCTTACATCGAACTGAAGGATAACACAACACCTTCAGATGAAACATTCTCCAAATTACTTAATCTTGTTCGTTGTCAGCTAAATGCATCTGTGATATTTTTGAATGAACTGGATAGTAGTGTACAAGGTGCAGACAATGTTGATGTTTCAAATGGGAACCAGGAAATAGCTGATGCAGACTTTCTATATTGCCGGGATGCTAACTCATCAGGCATAAATGTTGTGGCTGCGGAGGATCCTGTTGTAGAAGATGATGTATGTTAACAAAGGGGTTATTGAATTATTTTGTACGACATCTAGAGTAATCTTATAGTTGTGCTAAACAACGGAGTCACTCCAACTTTCATTACAGGGAGAGTAGTTACAGATTAGTGATAGAAATGCTGAACGTTCGCTTGCATGGTCTCATGTTCACTCCGTACTGGATTTGCTTCCGTCTAGGTGTGTGCTTATTATTATCGTCGTTTTCGTCTTGGGGATAAATATGGCTCACAACTTCTTACACTGGGTCGGTATAGGTTGGCAATCGAATACCATTCACCTTTTGAGGTGTATTATATACTACCGCCTAAAATGAAGTTTAGGCGGAAACATTCCAATAATTTATGCTGGGGGATGATTGAAGGGGAAATGAAAATTTGGACCGCGGCCGGGTTCGAACCAACGACCACCTGGTTTGCGGCCCGATGCTATACCAACTAAACTACGAGACCTGACTATTGACTAGATTTTTATTTCACTTCAATCACCATGGGTTTTGCCTGACTACCATGTGAATTCGTGACGCGTTACTACCGCTTGGTCATGTTTTCACTGGCTGCCTAGTCAGGACTTCTCATCCCAATCTAAATCTAACTGAATTAGAGGGGACGGGGAGGATCATATTGATTGTCATTTTGACTATATGAGTGAGACAGCTGTGAGTAGTCAGACTAGAATTTATAATGGGTGATTATTGAAATGAAGTTAAAATCTGGTCAGCAGTCGAACCTCTTAGCTCAGTTGGTGGAGCATCGGGCCGGAAACCCAGTAGTCGCTGGTTCGAGTCCGGCGCCGGTCCAAATTTTCATTTCACCTTCAATTATCACCCAGTTTAAATACTAGTCTGCCAAACTACGGCTATCTCAGATAGTCAAAAGGATAATTTCAATAATTATCAACTTTTTGACCCCAATTTTCGAGGGGAAATGGCAAAGTGACTTAAATGTTCGATGTTTCATTGAAACTTGGCTAATTTATACGTAAATCGACTTATTTAAAAATAGTGCACGAGTTGTAGAGTGTATAACTTTGTCAGTGTGTTTAATAGGATCAAGCCTTTGTTGAAACAAATAATTTGTGTAGAGTAGGGTTCTAAATGAAGCAAAGTTAATTTTTCACTGTTTTGTATGTTAAGTTAGAAGGTTATCACATACTAATTTAGAATACAAGAAATCTAACTTCCAAGAAACGTTCTTCTTCACTTCACTATCTAATGGAATCTGTAAGCTAAGAATCTACTGTAAGTACTCTCAGGTTTGCTTTTTTAACATACTGACACCAAAAAAACTAAGTAATCAATGTTGCTGTCGATTCAGTGTCACAAATCGTATTGCATTGTTTGAAATCTGCTTATTCTGAGTCAGTGGAACTGTGGTTTTTTGGTTGGTCTAGACACTTGATACCCATCCAATGGGTCACGGTTTCTAACTCAGGTTCACCTACCACTGGTTAGGCAGCCAGGCAGCATATTGAGTCTTTACTCGTTAGGTGTGGCTGATTACCTAATGTAAGGATGTGCACAGGGTTGCTGAGCGAAATTTCATGATATTCTAAATTAACATAATAATAATAATAGAAGAGAACTAAGGGGAAGACTAGTAATTTGGTGTTTGTATAGCTTTGGTATTCTTTGAAAACAATGTTCCAAACTGTATGTGGTAGACACCGAAACCCTGAAATGTACTCAGTATCTTTATTTTTTTCCTATCACGAGAATCCTCTGTACTTTTCATATTCCTTGATTTAATAACATTTAGGTATTAGAAGATATTGCAGTTGGAACCTCCTCTGATGATGAATCTGAAACAGAGCATAAAAATAATGGAGATTTGGATTCATTAAAGGTAAATCGTTCAAGTAGTTAAAAAATCCCCATTAAGTGATAAAACAAAGAATGTTTAGCTAAGAGTCACTTTTTTCAACGATATCGTTCTCAAACTGTACAATCGCATATCAATATTTTATACACATAGTAACAGAAAAGGAATGTTTTATGAGTTCAGATTTGATTATAAATCTGAAGAGCTAACAGAAGTTGGAAATATGGACCATTGGATTCTTACCCAGTGGCTCCATGGTAACGTGCTGGCCACGGAACCTGAGGGTCACTGGTTCGATCCCTAATGGGGTCGTGAGTGCGCACTGCTGAGGGGTCCTATACTAGGACGAAACAACTGTCCAGTGCTCCCAGCTTTCTCTTGTTCCTCCAACTGATGTCAGTCTACGATGAATGGCAACTTGAAATATAAATCAGAAGGTCAAAAAAGGGGCAGCTTTTCATAAGACAGCGGAGTTTGATTAGTCATTTCAAATTTTGCTAGGATGGCCTTTAGAGTCACTCAAAAAAGAGTTACGTACTGTTTGAAATAGTAATGGGAAGAAAACTTATCAAGACGGAATTAATATTTGGTTACTAAGCTAAATGATGTGACTCGGTGAACGTGGAGAGAAGTCAGAATTCTAGGAGTGGAGGGATGTAACGTGTGAGATCTGAATGAAAAAATTTTTGAAGGTAAGTTTGTTCTTATAGGCTATGTCCATCGTAACTCAAGTGACTGGACAAATTTCTTTGGAGCACAGAGTTCAGGGTTCAGAATATTCATTGCCATGGCTTCTGCAGCTTGAAGAAGTTTTAGACGTACACTTATCACGAGATTTGCACAAACTCTATAGATGACACTGAAGTTCTCTGCATTTACCCGGTGGTCATAATCGATCAAATGTTGTAAAATAGATTTGTGAAGTGTTCTCCTTTCTCTTTTGTAGAACCAGGCTGGTATATGTTCAGAAATGCGTTTATAAAAACGAACGCTGAGTACAGCCATTATACCTTTTGTCGCGTATAAACTGTGTCCTTACACAAACACTCACCCTTGCTTGTATAGATAATAATAGTATGTTGAGATAGATCCTTTCAACTATACTGGCAGGAATTATTTTGATTACGTGGATGTGGAACTTGAAGCTTCCCTAAAAGAGGAGGTACTAGCTATCTTTGAGTAATGGATATTGGTTGCCTCATTGATGCCCTATTTTTAAAAAAAAATAATTTTGTGAAAGGTTGATTATACTCTCATAGAAAGGAAATTCTAGGATGGTGCAATAACTGTCTTTTCACCAGTGAAATTAAATATTGGAATAAATCATACTGAACAGGTTAGAAATTCAAAAAATGCTAGTTGTTGTCGATCACATTTGTTTAGTTTCATTTTGATCCTTTAGGAGGACAATACAGTTCTTGGTTTCATTCAGTAATCACTTCATCTAAACTGTTCCGAGGTGTTGCTTCCTGGCGGTAATATTATTTAGTTGAAATCTTCATGGACAAATATTTGGAAATTATTGTGGTCATTAGGATCAGTGTCTTTTGGTGTACCAGTTACTTAATAGGGCAATTTTATTTATCAAGACAATAATATACGCTATCACTTTGACTATCTGAGATAGCCGTACTTTTTTACAAACTAGTATTTATACTGCGTGATGATTGAAGGTGAAGTGAAGATTTGGACTGCGGCCGAATTCGAATCATCGACCACCTGGGTCTCCGGCTCGATTCCTTACCGTCCGCGGCCCACTGAAGGACCTCATAACTCAGTTCTTATAGCATGTAGTTGGTAACCGAGTGGTAGCTCGTTCGAATCCGGCCGCAGTCCAAATTTCCATTTCACCTTCAGTCATCACTCAGTATAAATTATATTTATACCTAAACTTTATCACGAAACACTGGATTGTTTTCTCTTTCTTTTTATGGACTAGAATCCTTCATCTGTAATGCATCCTTGTGTATTGAAAGAATTGAAGAATGTGATCTCTCATCGTCGATTAATTATGCAAGAACGTGAAGATTGTGCCATAAAACGACGTTTGTTAACAGATTGTCCCGAAGATCAGAAGGAATATTTATCTATTAATGGTACCGATCCATCTGTACGAAAGGAGTCACAAGCAAGTTTTAAAAATCTGGTTTCTAAATTTTCTTACACTTTATAATGACGTGATATTTGTTGATGATTTTCAAAATATCGTTTAGCGCTATCATCTTAGTAATTGCGTTAGTCAAAAGTAGTTTCTGTTACAAGGTAATATTGGCTAGTAATCAAAGCTAGTCTTGTAGTGTAATGGATACTACTTATAGGAATACATATAAGTAGTATGTGCTGAGAGGTTGGAAAAATTTATAGGCAATTACGAGCAGTGAATAAATATTCTGCCTAGAGAAGCACAAAAGATGACGTAGTCGTATCAGTAGCAAGACGAGATAGGAGAAGCAGTTGAACTTAAGCATGCTGTGCAAATTGGTATTTTAATGGAAGGTTATAGTATTTTATCAGTAATGTACGAATTGTGATCATAAACAATCCTTCTGCGATTCACTTTTCTTTCCCTTCCTTCAGTAGTATTGGGCACTTATTTAATACAATCCCTCAACGGTATTGAGTAATGACTGACTTATACGAGCAAATAGGTCAAAGGGGAACATCGCCGATGAAATGAGTGTGATCATAAATCGTTTATATTTAGAGATGTATTGGTGTATTGATGAATAGATCACTTTTCGGTGTTTTTATCCAATCGGTTTGAACATCCACCGTGTTTTTTCTACGTCATTACATCTGCACTAATTTATAAATCTTTCGGGGTTCATTATCAGAATATGCTTTTTTACAGCATCTTATGATCTTCAATCAGCGGATTTTAATGTAAACATAGAATGATAAACCATTTCAATTAGAACTGATTTGGTATTCTAAATAATCACTCTAAGTTCAATATTCAATTATTAATTAACAATAATTAGTAGGTTATTTGATTTTCATACATACTGAAATTATTTTCGTAGAATTTTAATAAGATAATATCATTCCTATGGCTGAAAACTTGGGCATTGTGGTACAATTTAATTCCATATTAGATTTGTTTATTTGATTGATAACACACAGTGATGTAGTATTATTTACTTGATGACGACGTTTCAGTCATAAATTACTCCTCATAACCATATCAATGTAATCACACTACTTTAGACATCTGCTTCTTTTATTGTACTGTCACTTCATCTGAATTGTTTTTATTGGTAGTAAACTTTTTCATATTTCTGATATGTGTTGCGTCATTTCCATTACAGAATTTATGGCACTATAAAGGTTCATAGACCAGGTTATCCCATTAGATCCATAGCTGACTTCAGAAATACCCCAACATATGAACTAGCAAAGTATTTAGTATTAGGAACCACTCAAATTCCAGACTGGTAAACTCTTACGAGTTAAAACTAAGGCTTAATGACCTACATATAGGCGATAAAAAAATGCTTAATTTCGATGTAACAAGTCTTTATACTAAAATACCGATCAATATGGCACTGGAGGCAGTCAGAAGTCAACTGAATAGTGACTTAGAACGTACTCACAGAACTAAGATATCGGTTGATGAGATCATATTAGTCCTAACCTCCACAATCCTCAAGATTCAGGACAGAATGTGCAGGCAAACAGAGGGAATAGCAATGGGATCGCCAATATCCCCAGTCGTATCAGATATATTTATGAATAGTTGGGAAAACATGGCTTGACAAACGTTCAACCCTGCACCTATGATATGTCGGCGAAATGTGGATGACAGACACATTTATATTATTATTATTATTATTTGTCCCTTGGATTCCTAGTGGAACATAGGGCTTCAGTAGCATGCAATCTTTTGAACCTGGCTCCACGACAGCCCACAAACTCTCATTTCTTCTTCACACGATCTCTTCCATGTCATCCTCGGCACCAACGACCAACTCGTCGTTTCCCATCTGGGTTCCACTCGAGTGCTTGGCCTGGCACGTGATGTCCCCGAATGGTCTTCTTAGTGTATGCCCAATCCATCTCCACTTTCTGCTACTGCATATTTGTTGAGTGATAGGTTCTTGGTTGGTTCGTTGCCAGCCAGCCACAGTTCCTTGTTGCTTATTCTTTCTGGCCATCTGGTCTTCAGTATCGAGCCAGCGTAGGCAGTTGTTGATGAATATCTGTAGTTTGTCGGAAACGCTCTCCTACCAGAAGCCTGTTCTGCTTCGCTTGCCAGTGTGTCGTAGAAGTGTCTTTTGTTTTTCCGTGCACTCTTCTTCACCTCTTTGTCCAGTGTTTTATAGGTTGTATTCAGTTCCTCTTTTCGTTGTTCATTCTTGCTCTGGTTTATCTTCTGCTTCACCATCCTCCTCTCCCTACTCTATCAGCACCCATGTGTCCATCGAGATCCATTCCTTATCTTCTTTCTTCTTCCTTCCTAATACGGTTATGCAGGTTTCTTTTCATATAGCTTTCAAAGACTTCCAGTGTTCATCCACACATGTTTCTTCAGTGATGTTGCTCGATATCTCCCATTTTGTCTTGATGGCTGATGCGAAGATGTTCTTTGTAGTTTCGTCCTTCAGTTTCTGTTCTGGGTGTTGAACTTGAACTGTGGCCTATCACCAACTTTCTTGAAGGCTTTCAACTTGATTTGGAAGGTAGGTTCCTTGCACTAGATACTGTGTAGTCTGAATCTACATCTGCTCCTCTTCTTGACTTTGTGTCAAGTAGGCTGGCTGCGTCTCCACTTTCTTCACATTGAAATGAAGTCGATCTGATTTTTAGTGTGTCCTGGTGTCTGGTGAAATCCATGTCTTTTTGTACCTTCAATCACCAAATCGTTGGATACACAGAATTCTACAAACAATTCTCCATTCTCGTTCATCACCTCACCTAGCGCTTCTCGACGCGTGGTTAGTTCTCTTCTTGTGTCGTCCGCTCCCAGTTTGGCATTCATGTCGCCCATTAGAATTTCGATGTCACCAACTGAGGTCTTGTCTAGCACTGATTGAAGCTGTCTGTAGAATTGCTCCTTCTTCTCTCCATCTGCATTATTTGTAAGTGCATGGCGTAGCATTGTATGATTGTGACTTTCATTCCTTTTGATTTGAATCTTGCTGTCACCATCCTGGAGAAGATTGGTTCCCACTGTATGAGAGTATTTGATGCTCTTGAGGATATAATGATAGCCACTCGAGAACTCAGTGTGCTCGTGGTTGTCTTCTGGGTGACAATAACGGAGTAGACTATTGATTCTCTAGTTGACAGTTTGGAGAGTCCACTCTCATTTCATCTGCTGTCGTAAATTCCTAGCACTTCAATGCGATACTTTCTCATCTCGTTTGCAATGTGGACAGCCTTGCTGGGTTCAAACATGGTGCGAACATTCCATGTCCCCACGTTTACTTTCGCTTTCATCTAGGGAGAGAAGACACATCGGCCCGGCTAATTGGCTTCCCGAAGGCCTTTACCAACCGGCGTCATTTCATCTCCCCGATTCCAGCGACGAATGAGTTTGTTTTTACTTTTCATGTTTTGTCTGTGCTTAGAAGTTTCTGTAGCGGTTTGATTAGTTTTACGGAGTAGGGTTGCTAGCCCTATGCCCAACCTTCCCTCTTTACCCGGGCTTAGGACCGGCTGGTAACTAGTGAACTGGTTAACCAGGCGAGGTTGAAATCGGAACATATCAATAATTTCCTCACACACATAAACTAAGTAGTAGGCGCAATTCAGTTCACTTGCGAGATAGAAAATGAACAAGGAGAATTACCTATGTTGGATTGCAGAGTGAAACGAAGGACCGACGGTGGTTTGGATACTACCGTCTACAGAAAACCAACACATTCTAACAGGTATCTACACTTCAAGTCATTTCATTCAATGTCAGTTAAGTCAGGTTTAGTCCAGTGTTTAAATGACAGAGCTAGAAATCTGACTAGTCAATGCAAAGACGTAAACAAGGAACTGAAGCACGTAAAAGAAGAGCTAACAATTAATCACTATCTTCCGCAGTTTATTAAGAAATTCGTAGGAGCACACAAGAAACGAAATGATAACAATCACACGAGTGCGAACAATAACACGAGTAGAAAGGAGTTCACAGTTCACAGTTCATTGTGTTGATCTGTAAGGAAGGTACATGGGAAACTTTACGTATGATCGTCAACGAGACTGGAATTAAGGTGACATCGAAATCTACAAACTCACTCAGACCTAAGCAATGTCGGCTAGCTTAAGGATCCGATAGAACCAATTGAGCAAAATAATTAATTGATCTATCAAATTCCATGTAATGACTGTGAGGTCAATTACATAGGTCAAACTAGTCTGGTTGGTCGGGGTCAGTTAGAATAGCTGAACATGGGAATTTAGTTAGATATAGAACGACAGACCTGAAGAAGATCAATAATCTAGAAAAACACTCGGCCATTGCAGTGTATGCATTAACGGCCGAGCACACAATAGGGTGGAATAAAACCCACTGTACTTAATTCCAATGTTAATGGATGCAGAGAGAGAGAGAGATTAGTGAATCTTTGTTCATTGAATCAACACACAACACATGTAGTAGGAATGACACAACACTTATACCAGAGATGTGGAAAAGTTTACTGCCAACAGGAACAAATGATAAGAGGTGATAGGACTATGAAAATCAGATGTCGAAAGTAGTGTGATTACATTGATATGGAGTAATCTACGATTGAAACGTCGTCATCAAGTAAATAATACTATATCACTGTGTTAAAAATCAAGGGAAATGAAAAGGTGTCTTCGGGACATTAAAAAACTGGCATTGCAGATTACTGAGATTTGAAATGAAACTGATTTATTTATTTTGTCCTTTTGGGTAAGACATTTATTTAGTACATCCACCATTGTTTAGAAAGTTTCGGAAGCCTTGTTCCTATCCGTAGTTTGATTATAAAAGTTATAGGATATCCTGTGGCGAACTGTTCACTGTTCTCTGCGTTTAGCTGTAAAATTTTGTCGTGAAGGAAACTACATGTTTGGTTACGTTTAAGTTCAAAGGAGGGAGTTTTCAGGTGATCATTTTCGGCTTCACACAGTCACTAAGCAGAATTTCAATGATACTACTTCATTAGTTCACTATGAAGCTGTCGTCACCTCTCTGGACAACAATATACACACAGATTTCTAAAGGGAGTCATGAGAATTTATCTGTTGATGCAGAAATGGTTGAAATTTATTCAACAATCTAGTACATGTTCTTTTAGTAGTAGGGAATGAACTACGCAGCGACAAATGAAACGAATCGAAATGCACTCAGCAACTTTGTGCAGTCGGCACTGAGCCGCACCTATTTTATGAAGGCTACTGATACTGTATATGGCTGGGCAAGCAGTGGTAGGTGGAGCGGAGTTTCAACCGGTAACCCGTCGGTTGGAAATCGAGTGTTCACAACAATGAACCATAGCTTCACGCAGCCATAGTTGGTGCAGTTAATCCTTGCATATTTATATATTTCCAATAGGTATTGTTGTGAATTGATCTATAACCGGCCTGTTGTAGTCACTTACTGGTTTCCACATTATGTAACAGTCAATTAAGTTTTCATGATTATACTACCCAGCACAGAAAATACAGCACTACCCAAATTGTAGTCTAAACTTTTGTTTTCTTACTTATTTTAACCACTATTGTTGCATTGAGGAGTATAAAATACCAGGTAGTTTTAGCTTGACACGCTACTGTCAAATATGAGGATCGAGACCGATATGTAATTTTGTCAGGTTCTATACCGTCTGCATTTGTATACTAGCTACTTAGGAGACGAAGAGGCTCTTTCCTAAAGTTGTCATGGCTAGTTGTAATGGTCTTTAACTTTATATATATTCCTATTTGTTATCCCTTTTGAAGTTCCTTGCTGTTCTTTGTAATGTTGTAGATTGTCTTACCACAAAACTGTAGCAGGGTTATTCCTTCTCGTGAGTTTGTGAAGTAAGCTTCTCTTCACCCGTTAGATTTGACAGACAGTGGCTGAATGTCCCTGTATTTATAACTTCGTTGTGTTAGATTTCTTTCTATTTGTATTTAAACGCTTAAAGATAAGTGGATTTTATTGGTTTGTGAAATAGCTTACTTTTTGCTATCACTTCCTATCGATTTTCTAGACTCAATTTACTTTGGAGAATGGTCATGGTGTAGATGATAATGCATACCCTAACGTAGATGTTAAACTTTCAGAATTCTTTCCAACTCGTTTGTATAATTCAATGTATCAAGACTTCAAATCATGTATTCCTTTTACTCGTCGAAATTTAAAATCCAGTGTTCTCAAAAGAAATATGATTTTCACTCAGTTTTCATCTGTTACTTTCAAAGATTATGCAAGTCAAAATTATAAAAATTCTTTGATGTTGACAAATATTTCTCAGTCTGAAAACTTATCTGATAAAAGAGTTCTACAGTGTTCATCATTCGCGAATGCCTTGTTTGCACAGCGTAAACTTCTTGGCTATGCTGATGAGGATTGTTTCACTGGGATCGGTTCAGGAGAAAAGTTTGACGAAGTTGTAGAAGAGATTTCTTCAAAGAATTCATAACGCATTATTATTACTCTTTTTGCATTAGTTTTATCATCATAAATAATGTAAATCATGGAATACTTTTCATACCTTTGGGTATGGGTATGCAAGATTTTCTGGATACAATTTTCTACTGTTTTAATGGTATTTATACTATATGTGGGCGTATTTTTACCTTACTTGTACATTAGACTGATTGTCGATCAAAATGAATGAAAAGAGCGAAGTGTGAGCCTACTGACTGTATACATTGCCAAATACATTTCATCATATGCATATTTCTGTTAATGAAGTTGAAAGACAGACAAGAACAGCAATTTGAGAAGTATTACTGCACTGTTTTGTACGTATTGACTTCTAACCAACTGCTTGCAACCTAGAATATTTAAATATAAAGCTATGAGATGTGTAATATAAAGATGCGAATAGTTGTAGTTAGTGGTTTAACACACACCCAGTCCGTTATGAGATCCTAGTAACCAAGGCAAAGAAAGTAATAGTAATGTAAGAAAGTGTGCCAAAACATCATGATTACGTAGACTATTCAGTTGGGAACTTTCGGAAATTGACTAAGGGTAACAGAAATATATTATGAAACTTAGAACTGTATGATTATGTAATTGAGTCGAAAGATGAAGAAAATGTGTGGAATTCAGAGAAATCAAATCCCAGGGGGTTTCGAAAATCAAAACAAAATATTTCTGAACGTTTCGCTGTGTAAGCCACAGTTTCTTCAGCAGAATATACCGATTTTTATTAACATCAAAACATGTAGTGGCCTATGCAGCATCCTGGTGGATAACACTTTGGAGTTTGAAGCGATGGGTACGAGATTCGAGTCTCAATGGGGGCATCACTCACTGGGATTCAGGTACAGTCAGCTGACGAGTCCCAAATAAGAGGAAACGCGCGTTGTGAATCCTTCTACTAGCCACATCCAAGTAAATTATCATAATGAATATCCAGACAATATCTAGGCATCTGTATAGCAGCCCATATGCTAACAGAGGTCGAACAATTCGATCCAGTAAAACAATGGAGAATTACGAGTATATTAACAAATGGTATAGTCAAGTCATCCATGAAATATTTAGTGAATATAGGTCATTAGTTAGACGATTTCTCGTGCAGCCTCAGTAATAAAGATTAATCATGAAGAGTTCACGCTTGTTTTTGTCATTTGTCAACGCAACTGTGGGGTAGTCAAAGTCTTTATGGGTATGGGTGTTTATGGATATTGTAGAATTAGTGTTGCTTCTTGTACTTTTATTTATGAACTACCAGTAATTATTATTCAAGCTTCAATTAGAAAAGGTCATCATTAATGGTTTTGTTGGAATAAGATGTTTACCAAATAGGTGACAAGTTAGTTCCTTCTTTTCTGTTTACATTATTTGATGTTGTTAAAATATGTAAGGTTTCGGAAGTTAATCTTTCTGAAATTTAGAAAAGTGACCAAAAATATCTATGCATGTAATCGAAAGTGAACGTATGATTGACTTTTGGGAATGTAGACATATTGGGAAAAGGTTTTCACTGCTAATCACTATCCACCATTACTAGAAAAACGATGTGGTATATGTTAACAAAGTTTCGCTTGTTCTGATATCTTTGAAGGCTAACGTTTTTCATAATGGCGTATTTTAAAAGTTTGTTAAACTTTGGCGAAGAGTATTTTTGAAGACTTCATTTCTTGCTAGGCGAGTTTAGTTCGTATGCTTGGTAGCGCATTATTTCTTCACAAAACAGTAAGTAATGTATGTTATTCGTTTATCTGTTGTTGTAATTATCCACGACAGCTTAGTGAACGATTTTCATCGCTTTATTCGGTTAGATACCTCCATTTTTGACATTTCTTGAGGTCTGTAGGGTAAAGTAGCTTTTCAACTAACTGATCAAACTGTTTTTTCCTGCGAATTTTCTCCTACAGTATGCAGTTCTATTTTATTCTACACATTCTGGGAGAAACTAAAAGATTTGCCTGATTTTTTTTTACATTTACGCTCATGTTGGTGTACAATCAACAATCATGAGCAAGCATATAAGGTGGCATTTATTATGAAGTGAAGTCTATTACTAATCGAATATTCTGAAACACAGAATTAATGGAATGATACAGTCAAAAAGGTTACTGTTTCTGTAGACAAGGTCTGTTTCCCTGAGAATATTTCACACTCTCAGGTGATTAACTCAGATATCTCGAAGATCGTACTTGATAATTGAATAGTTTGGTTTTCCAGTCAAAAGCTCGATTTCTTCAACTGAATCCCATCTGTTGTTATGCTTTCTAATTAACAATATCATTCGTATCTCGATGTCAGCAGAATCACCATTCTCTTCCCTAACATTCAGTAAGAAGTGTAATCTGAAAGACCATCTCTTCAAAAAATATGCCTACTTTCATCCTAACCTTCTTCACCTTTGTAGATTTCACGTCAGTAGTTCCATACTAAACGGGACATTCACATGTAGAATCCCGGAATGAAAAAAAAACAAGATTTTTCTAGAATACAATATGATGATACAGCTATGATGGAGATTATCAAAATCAACGCCTCGAATTATGAGTCCTCCTAGTTTTCACAGCATAGTTAAAGATACAGTTGATAACGTTCTCTGTAAGCAAATAAATAACGTCCAGTTTTGGTTAATCACTGAAGATGGGCCAATCAATTTGACAAAGCGTGAAAGACAAACAAGTGTTCAGGATGCAATCTATACAGTATAGAAAACAAGTTGGTAGAAAGCAATATAGCTGACAATGAGAAGAGAAACGAATATAGTAAATTGGAAATAGGCGAGAGAGAAGTGTGACTGATGATTCGTTATTACTTCAATCTGGTAGTTTGTGTAGATTTACTAATTGATTTCAGTTTGGAACTCACCACGGACTGGCACCAGTTGGAGGAAAATTGGAAACCTGGGAGCACTAGACAACTGTTTCGTCCCAATAAGGGACTCCTCGTCAGTGCGCACCCATGACCCCACATCGTCAGGGATCGGACCCAAGACCTTCGGGTTCCTTGGCCAGCACGTTACCATCGAGCCGCTCACTCGGTCGGAATCCAGTGGTCCATATTTCTTACTTCTGTCAGTTCATGATATAGCGCCACCCACATTCAATGTCGTCATTGAGTTACTGTCCTCATGTTCGACTTAGTTAGTTGGAAATATAGACCATTGGATTTCAACCCAGTGGCTCAGAGGTAGTGTGCTGGCTGCGGAACCTGAAGGTCCTTGGTCCATTCCGTGGCTGTATGAGGTCATGGGTACGCACTACTAAAGAGTCTCATGTTAGGACGAAACAGCTGTTCGGTGCTTCCAGGTTTCCAGTGTTTCTCCAACTGATGTCAGTCCATGATGAATTCCAACCTGATTCGTTATTACCTTGAGAAAGTAACAAAATGACAAACACTTGGGCTACTCGCTAATAGTTAGTAGTATAAAACTAAACACAAAAGAGGGAAAAGTCACTATAAAGTAATATTGAAGCATGAAATTTTATCGCCGTTTACTATCATAGCAGTGGGACTGATTATGCAGGACAGTTTTTTCGTAATGTTTTTAAATGAAACTACAGATTTAGTTGTCATATTGATTTGAACAAAATCAAAACATAGGTTTAGCATATCACAAATCAGTTGCCGTTCAGAATTTACGTGGGTACCATATTTCAAGTGAGCACTATACGTTCGTTTATCTGTGAATATTTGACGACAAAGTTTGGAAATCTGTTAACAAATTTCAACATCTGGATGCTGGTTTATGAAGTTTCGTGACTGTATTGATCCTTCATTTAACTGTGGTTCCAAGTGGCTCCTAATTTCGATGGTGTTTATGTTATAGCTTCTAAAATGTTCACCGGTAAAATATGATACGTGGCAACTATAAGGCGTTAATTTTCATGATAGTACCAAGTTTCGCATATACATTTTTGTTCTGTCGAATTCTGAGGAGCAAGTTGTAATATGTTATTCAAGTGTATGATAGCAAGACGAAGATAATTACACTTTTAAATGTCTCATGGGTAAATGATTTGTGAGAGCACACCATTGATTGTCATACAAGATGAGCAAAATATAGCATCGAACTGTTACAGGGATGTAGGCTCATTAAGTTTTTAGTCAGGATATCTGTCAAAATTTCAAGATTTTCATAAAAGTTAGACAGTCATATTTTTCAGAAATTAAAGTTGGATACTTAATCGGATTCAAGAAGAATGTAAGTGGTAACCTGTCTGGCTGCAGCATTGGGAGACGTAGGTCTGAATATCGAAGGGACGTTAGCCCCATTGAGGTTGTAGACTAGCTTAACTGATTAGTACAAAAAAGGCTGAAGCATGAGCTTAACTAAGCTTTCTACTGATTATATCCAAAGCAATAGACAGTAGGAGTATTCATATGGTAGATTCACCTCTGGGTAAAACTACAACGTTTCCCACGACAGCAAGCAGCTGACAAAATTATAATGGATGAAGCGATAATTCAGTTCATCAAGGATTTGCGGAGATGTTAGCTTAAATTTATGGTAAGTAAGTGTTTAGTTCCTATCGGAGCTATCTCTCGATTTGTTTCATAAAGTTTAAGCTGAAAAATTGAACATTGTACTTGACAAAACCAATTCTTTTCAATAAGAACGGGGGTATTTAGTTAAATAGGATGACCAACTTGTAGATGATTTAAAAATTTCACAGTTCACATTGAAATTCCTCACAGGTGAGTAGTTTTTTTCGACTTAGGCATCAACAGGGTTTCTGTTGGAAACCACCCAACTAAGATCACAAGATGGGATCTCTGACACAAAAGTGTCTACGATACTTGTATACGTAAAGTGCATTTATCTTCATTCTTCTTAGACTACGAATTGTTTATAACCGCTTCTTCATAACCGATTATTGCACAGTTTGCAACAACAATCTTTTGAAGTAATTTTCTGCTAATAGAAGTATTTTTTTTCTTCAATTGAACAGATATTAATGGAGTAGTTAGGTACTTCGTTGTAGATGATCTATGCAAGAAAAAGCAGTTTGTAATCATATGTTCCATGTATATTGCTAATGATGAATGATCATTCTGATATATATTTGCAAACTACATGGTCTCTGTTGATATATCTGACGGCCAAGTAGTTTCCCAATTGCCCAGCTGTGATGCCAACGGGTTTACCGTTGGAAGTCATCCACCAAACATCACAAAGTGTGATCGCCGATACAAAAGAATCATCAACTAAGGAAATATACCACTGAACCGCATCAGTATTGCGAAACCACTTGCACTGGTCTACAAATTTTACTAACCAGATCAGAGGGATCCAAACACTTCTGCTGAATAACATTATGATGACAACATGGAACCAAGGATGCTTTAAGTCATTAAGAGTGATATCACAAACTGGTAGATTTTTTTAATAAAAATAAGTGGAACTTAACACTGTCAAACTTTAGGTTGGAGTTCATCATGGACTAACCTCAGTTGAAAGAACATTAGGAACCTGGGAGCACCAGGCGACTGTTTCGTCCTAGCATGGGACTCCTCAGCGGTGCGCACCTATGACATCGCGCCGCCAGGGATCGGGCCCACGGCCAGCACGTTACCATCCAGCCACTCGGTAGGAATCCAGTGGTCCACATTTCCTATTTCTGTCAGTTCACGATATAGCGCGACCTACGTCCG